TAAGCTCCCTTGTTTCTGTACCAGAATAACAATATAACACACAAATATTTCAGAGGGGCTAGGGTTCAACATCAGACAGATAAGCTCCATTGTTTCTGTACCAGAATTACAACAAGTTGGAACATATTATTTATAGTGCCAACATTACAAAACGGTTGAACATACATTTTTGTTTTCTTCGTGTAATTACTTCAAATTTTTGCAGTTTCCCAAAACACAAAATTCTTAAGGCCAGACAGATTTGTTTCTTCAAGGATGCCATGAAAAAGACTATTTACAAGGTAGAATATTTACAATTTTATTCCATAAAGTGAAGCACTGAACCCTTCAAAAACAACAATATTTACAGAAACCTCCGTTTGAAATGTTGAATTTTGTAGCAATCAAGAGAACCTCACTAATTATAGTACATAATGTAATGTGAAGTAGATAAATCCGGACCGCACAAGTCTTTTGGACCCAGAAACTTCCAATCTCAAAAATAGAGCACAGGTTATTTGAACCCAAGAACTTCCAAACTCAAGAATAAGGCACAAGTATTTTCAGTCTAGGAACTTCCAGACTCAGGAATAGGGTACAGGTCTTTTCAGTCTAGGAACTTCCAGACTCAGGAATAGGGTACAGGTCTTTTCAGTCTAGGAACTTCCAGACTCAGGAATAGGGTACAGGTCTTTTCAGTCTGGGAACTTCCAGACTCAGGAATAGGGTACAGGTCTTTTCAGTCTAGGAACTTCCAGACTCAGGAATAGGGTACAGGTCTTTTCAGTCTAGGAACTTCCAGACTCAGGAATAGGGTACAGGTCTTTTCAGTCTGGGAACTGGGAACTTCCAGACTCAGGAATAGGGTACAGGTCTTTTCAGTCTAGGAACTTCCAGACTCAGGAATAGGGTACAGGTCTTTTGAACCCAGAATTTTTTTTTTCAATTCTGGGGGAATTTGGAGTATTTTTTTCACTCCTGGACCACACTAGCCTTTTTGTACAGAGTACTGGAGTCCTCTCCCATACAGTGGTCCACTGGGTTTGCACCCTATGTTACGTGATCGCATGTTAGCAGGTCGTTCTCATCTTCCTGGCTATAGAGACTGACACTAGCATCAACACTATTGCCATGGCAACACTTTAACAATCAGACAAATGTGATAATCTATTTCAATGGTTCTAATGGAAACGGATCATCTTCATTATTTCATCTCTGATTTGATTTTGGCTAATCACTAATTCACATGAATAGTGTTGTGGAAATATTGAAAATTAAACAAACACATGACTCAAGGTCAATTAAATTACATGAATATTCCAAGATAACACAGTGAGCTTGGCAAATTACAGACTGATACCAAATCCTCAGAGCTAAACATAGTCTACCATGACTGAGTTATTCTAAAAACTTAGTCTACCATGACTGAGTTAGTCTAGAAACTTAGTCTACCTTGACTGAGTTAGTCTAGAAACTGACTCCACCATGACTGAATTAGTCTAGAAACTTAATCTACCATGACTGAGTTAGTCTAGAAACTTAGTCTACCATGACTGAGTTAGTCTAGAATAGAAACATAGTCTATCATGACTGAGTTAGTCCAGAAACTTAGTCTTGCATGACTGAGTTAGTCTAGAAACTTAGCCTACCATGACTGAGTTAGTCTAGAAACTTAGTCCACCATGACTGAATTAGTCTAGAAACTTAGCCTACCATGACTGAGTTAGTCTAGAAACTTAGTCTACCATGACTGAGTTAGTCTAGAAACTTAGTCCACCATGACTGAATTAGTCTAGAAACTTAGCCTACCATGACTGAGTTAGTCTAGAAACTTAGCCTACCATGACTGAGTTAGTCTAGAAACTTAGCCTACCATGACTGAGTTAGTCTAGAAACTTAGTCTACCATGACTGAGTTAGTCTAGAAACTTAGTCTACCATGACTGAGTTAGTCTAGAAACTTAGTTTACCATGACTGAGTTAGTCTAGAATCTTAGTCTACCATGACTGAGTTAGTCTAGAAACTTAGTCCACCATGACTGAATTAGTCTAGAAACTTAATCTACCATGACTGAGTTAGTCTAGAATCTTAGTCTAACATGACTGAGTTAGTCTAGAAACTTAGCATACCATGACTGAGTTAGTCTAAAAACTCAGCCTACCATGACTGAGTTAGTCTAGCTGAAGGGATACAACATAAACAGCTTGGCTTAAGCCACCTCCAAAGATTACTACAGTAATCATCTTAACTTTGCTTAGTCTTCCTCAAGGGATACTACACAAATTCCAATTAGCCAAGGCTAGTAAGGTGACCTGTAGTCACAACTATCACCATTTTATAAATCCACTATAACTATTATGTAGATCATTATCCTTGTCTTAATTCATGATAAATACTGTTCACATTCTCCTATCACTATAGCACAACAATATCTCCCAGCAAAAGTATTCAACAGATGTTAGATTAAGAATTCGTGGGGAAATTCGATTTGTGTAAGTACATCGTAAGCCACCATGTACATATACACAGAAGTATACATAGCTTGAACACAATCAATATTGGAGAGGCAATCTTTGTCATTTCTAGTTTAATCTCATCTGTAAAGTTGAAGACAAAATAGGTAATCTACTCATAGCCCCTCTGTAGAGGAAATTCCTACTGTATAAGCCAGGGATCTCCTGTCTGACATAGGAACCTGTGACAACAACAGACTATCACCAGGCCACACATAGGAACCTGTGACAACAACAGACTATCACCATGGATACTCACAACCAATACAGGCCACACATAGGAACCTGTGACAACAACAGACTATCACCAGGCCACACATAGGAACCTGTGACAACAACAGACTATCACCATGGATACTCACAACCAATACAGGCCACACATAGGAACCTGTGACAACAACAGACTATCACCAGGCCACACATAGGAACCTGTGACAACAACAGACTATCACCATGGATACTCACAACCAATACAGGCCACACATAGGAACCTGTGACAACAACAGACTATCACCATGGATACTCACAACCAATACAGGCCACACATAGGAACCTGTGACAACAACAGACTATCACCATGGATACTCACAACCAATACAGGCCACACATAGGAACCTGTGACAACAACAAACTATCACCATGGATACTCAAAAACCAACACAGGCCACAAACTCTAATGTTATTTACATATTCATGTACTATCGACTGTTATCGAACTTAAGAAATCTGAAACCATTTAATCATGTATATTTTAATAAATCCATATATATGTTGACATCAGTAGATCATATTCCAACTTTGATTCTAATAGAAAATATCAAATGCTAACAGTGTAAACCAGAAGATAAGTTAATTATTTTGTACACAGGTAACAGCTGTTTTCACTTTTTATCCTAAAATCAACCCATCTTCCATATCTCTCAATAATAAAATTCAATAGAAATGTTCACTCTAGTATAAAATATTCAATTTTCAAAGATGGCATTGATATCAAAGAGGATTTAAAATTCTGATGGTAAAAGAGATATGTTAAGTGGACAACCAATACTAATGGATAACAGTTTTTTCTCAGAAGTTGCACTCCTTCATCAGTTTTTCCATGAACCTTTAAAGTGTGGCCACAAAATGGTCTAATTAACACATTCAGTAACTAAATGACAACCTTTTCCTTTAGGTGACATTTTTACCCACAATTCATTGCATGTTCTTGCATTTCACCAGTTGATGTTCTGTGCTGTTGTCATTGATGGGATATGACAGATGGAGTGACAAAATAGAAGTAAACAATATCACAAGAATGATATAGAATGTCAGAATTATAATTCTATAAAAAAAAAACCATGAATATCAACAACATCTGGGGTAGACTTCATTTTGTAAGCAAACTGTATTATAATGTACATAGGTAGCCAGTGTTTGAAACGAGATCTGAAACAAGTGACAGGTGATCCTAATTATTAAATTGATCTCTTTTGAAATAAACACATTTTATTCTCCTGAATTAGCGGTTGAAATTTCATGAACATGAAGAATTTTGCCAACCATACCACAACTATACAATTACAGCGTGTATACAACCTTTTATTGACAAGTCCAAGGATCTCCAAATTTCATGAATTTTTCAAGAATGTTTATGATATGCATAAACCAACAAACAGTGCATCAGTATTAGATAAACAGACATTCAACTGCTTTATCACACCCAGGTATTAGCTAATCTTACAAACTTTATCATGTCACAATTTGTTTAAAATGGTATCATTTGTTAGTCAGATGGATTGAATGCCCAATCAACAGCTAGGGCTATCTGGAGGCAGAGTCTCTCTGTAGTAGCTTGTGGCTATATCTTACTGGAAAAGCTTCCAAAGACCCATCACATGCAGTTCATACTATCGGGATAATTAAAGTGTTGTCTTGCCCAAGGACACAATCATGGCAACACATTGACAGAATGGTTGAGATTTTAGCTTTCAACACAAACCAACCACAGGAGATGGTTTCTGAACCTTACAACAGGTTTCCTACAAACATGTTTATAATCATAAATTCTGATCGTAGGATAAACCCTACACTTTTAAACGAGTAATAATTTTCATGAAAACTCCTAAATATAATATTGTCACATCAAGGAACGTCGGTAGAAAAATTAAAATCATACAGAATACAAGGCCAACTTTATCAAACATATTTGAAAAAGGAAAAAAACTTTGAACTGTAAACTATGGAACGATATTACAGAAAACAAATTTTGCACATAATTAATCTGAAGGGTAAGATCTGTTATTCACTTAATAACTAAACAAACCTAAATTGATTTCATTGAATTTTAAAGCATTCCATTGCTATGTTCTCATCGACAAATGGAATTAGACAACAAATAAAGTCCTTTAATTGAGATAACTGAATAATGAAGTCTTGATTTGAATCCTGGAAAAACAAAACTAATATTTACATTAAACACTCTTTTAGCATTATCCCAAGATCACCACGGAAACAGTGTATACCTACCTTCTGACGGTTCTATCGTGGACCCAGTGCCTCTCCGTTGATGCATATCAAGTATACCTCCTTCTCCAACATGGGAGAATTCACCACTGCTACTTCCTGTTGGGGTTAGGCCTGCAAACTCCCTCATCGCAGGGTCAGTGATGTCCATGTCAATTCTCTCCCCTTGGGTTGCATCTAGGTCCTGGTAGGTGTCACCCTTGGTGTACTTCACTAGGCGACTAAACATGGTGACTTGTCAGATGTTCAATCAAATCACCAAATTCTGTGTTGGCTCTGATTTATGTTCATGTATACAGCTGCTAAAAGGAGGGAGACACAAGCTGGTCTCTAGACTCTCTGCCAACAAAAGAAAATTTAAACATCAGATTTGTAGAATGTGTCCAGACTCTCTGTCAACAACCGTCCAGACTCTCTGTCAACAACCGAAAATTAAAAAATCAGATTTGTAGAATGTGTCCAGACTCTCTGTCAACAACCGAAAATTAAAAAATCAGATTTGTAGAACGTGTCCAGACTCTCTGTCAACAACCGAAAATTTAAACATCAGATTTGTAGAATGTGTCTAGACTCTCTGTCAACAACCGAAAATTAAAAAATCAGATTTGTAGAATGTGTCTAGACTCTCTGTCAACAACCGAAAATTAAAAAATCAGATTTGTAGAATGTGTCCAGACTCTCTGTCAACAACCGAAAATTAAAAAATCAGATTTGTAGAATGTGTCCAGACTCTCTGTCAACAACCGAAAATTAAAAAATCAGATTTGTAGAACGTGTCTAGACTCTCTGTCAACAACCAAAAATTAAAAAATCAGATTTGTAGAATGTGTCCAGACTCTCTGTCCACAAACGAAAATTAAAAAATCAGATTTGTAGAACGTGTCCAGACTCTCTTCAAACAAACGAAAATTAAAAAATCAGATTTGTAGAATGTGTCTAGACTCTCTGTCAACAAACGAAAATTAAAAAATCAGATTTGTAGAATGTGTCTAGACTCTCTGTCAACAAACGAAAATTAAAAAAAATCAGATTTGTAGAAAATTTAAAAAATCAGATTTGTAGAATGTCTAGACTCTCTGTCAACAACCGAAAATTAAAAAATCAGATTTGTAGAACGTGTCTAGACTCTCTGTCCACAAACGAAAATTTAAAAAATCAGATTTGTAGAATGTTTCTAGACTCTCTGTCAACAACCGAAAATTAAAAAATCAGATTTGTAGAACGTGTCTAGACTCTCTGTCAACAACCAAAAATTAAAAAATCAGATTTGTAGAATGTGTCTAGACTCTCTGTCAACAACCGAAAATTAAAAAATCAGATTTGTAGAATGTGTCTAGACTCTCTGTCAACAACCGAAAATTAAAAAATCAGATTTGTAGAACGTGTCCAGACTCTCTGTCCACAAACGAAAATTAAAAAATCAGATTTGTAGAATGTGTCTAGACTCTCTGTCCACAAACGAAAATTAAAAAATCAGATTTGTAGAATGTGTCTAGACTCTCTGTCCACAAACGAAAATTAAAAAATCAGAACAAACGAAAATTAAAAAATCAGATTTGTAGAATGTGTCTAGACTCTCTGTCAACAACCGAAAATTAAAAAATCAGATTTGTAGAATGTGTCTAGACTCTCTGTCAACAATCGAAAATTTAAACATCAGATTTGTAGAATGTGTCTAGACTCTCTGTCAACAAACGAAAATTAAAATATCAGATTTGTAGAATGTGTCTAGACTCTCTGTCAACAAACGAAAATTAAAATATCAGATTTGTAGAATGTGTCTAGACTCTCTGTCAACAAACGAAAATTAAAAAATAAGATTTGTAGGTTACGTCAAGCACTGGCTACAAATTGTTAAAAATATAAAAGAAACCAAGCTGTATGTATAGGTCTATGCTTTGCTTAGTCTTATATTTATAAACAAAGGCAAGGAAAACTAGTTATACTCAACAGCCTTCAGGGAACTAAATCATCTACCAACACTATGTGATATAAAACATATGGATGGCCCCGAATTGCCTATATGTGTACATCAAATATTGAAAGTATTTTTCGACCTTCCAAAAATATCATCAGAAGACATTTCTCGAATGATTTGGACAGAATTATACAAATTTCATAACACTATACATAAGTACATGTTTTTTACAAACCAAGTCAAAGGAATCGCCAAGTTACTTCAGTCTAGGAAAGGTTTCTACTTATGACAACCAAGTGACATTTCCAGAAAGAAAACAGACATGGGTGGGTATATTATAAGGCATGGTCTTATTACCTGATAAAGACAATACTAAGTTAAAGTTTACAACTGATGGGTAGCTTTTTGGTTTGAAAGAACACAAAATTAAAAAGGACAACTGCTTGTACTTGTCTGAAGTTTGATCTCTGAACAAATAATGGAACCACTGACTAATTTCCACTTGACACAGACCAGCCTGGAGCTTTTTGTGTTCAACACTTAATTGTCTTGTTATCTATCAGAAGATCAGACAGTATATGTGTCTGTAGCAAATTTAAGGTACACAAACAGATGTCACCATTATTGTGTGTTTGTTTTTTTTTAAAAATGTTACCACACAAAATGCTGTACAGACTGACAGTTAAGTTGATTAAGATCTGAGTATTTATATAAAAGAAAATTTTTAAAAGTGAAAACAAAAAACAAAAACAAATATGGAAAACACAGCAGTAAAACATGTCGCTAATGTTGACAGTAAGAAATGTAAACTACCAGTACAGCATTTAATGAAAAAGAAGGCCATAGCCCTTAACCATCATCTGACAATTGATGAATCGATGGACAAAACCATAGAATACGCTGATAGTGGCCTGACAAATCGGGTGAATTCAAATTTTGAACATTCCTAGTAAGTATCAGAAACTCATAAACGGTAAGTTCTCTTCATGAAAAATAGTTGCTCAATTATGCTACAAATTGGCTACTGTGGTTACCATGTTGAACTTTGATCGGACTGGAAAAGAACAACAAACCATTTCTTTCTTTTCCTTAAAAAACGAAACAAGCAAATGAATAAGATTTGGTTAAGACCATCTCAGGATCGTTTCAGGTAAGTTGGAGCTTATTCCAACTGGTAAAACTTGAGAGGAAGTTTGAAATGTCAAAAGTTTCTGCATGGTGGATGGCGCATAGCAGACCCATTGGGTCCAATGACCTACAAATTACTGATCTTAGGAGACAATTAATGTAGTTAATTAGTGTGCAAAATTGTGAATTTGTTGAAATTTTGTATCCTTTATGCCAGCAAATTAAGGATTTGTTTATCTTTCTTGCCCCGACTCCAGCAAATTGTGGATGTGTAGAACTTTTGTACACTTTACTCCAGCTAATTCTGTATTTGTTTCTGCCTTCTTTGACAATAACTCATGTTTGGCTATTGTTTTAAGTGTTTGTCCAAGTAAGGAATATTTCAGTAGTGTTCCCTGACAATGACCTATGTACACCACTGATGTCCGTTAAAAAATTGAATAGCTCTCAGCTTGATGGATAATAATCAGGACTATATCTTAACTACTGAGAATATAACATGACCAGGTTTAATATTAAAACCAAAATACGACATTTCAGTGTGATAACACTATAAAATATACCATGAGTGAGTCCATCATCCAAAGACACTGCTGTCATTATAACTTTATATATTTGTTGAAACATACCAGAACTTAATAACATGTCAAAAATACATGTTTATACACCAATGTATCTTCTATCATGGATATAATTATACTGCATTAAGTTAATGTAAATAGATACAGATATTTAAGTCCTTGACTCATTCATGATTTTCCTGTGGGACTCACTTGAATTTTAAGGACTCACATTATCTCTTAGTAATGGGACCTATCAAAATTTCAGAAGTGGTGTTCTGAAAAAATCCTACAAATAGAATAACATTATGATATATTACTGATTCTGTATCACTTCTTGACAATCACTTCAGATCAGGAGAACTTGCATGACACAGAAGTGTTGTTATAGCATTAGCTGTGATAGTACAATGGGTTTAACCAGTGGGCACCAGATGTCAACATACATATACTGAAGGCTTTTTCATGTCTGTAATTTGATTTGAAGGGGTTCGATGCCCAACAATGGTTGGAATTGAATTTCTTAAAAAAAAAAAAAATGGCCATCGATATACTACCTTTCTGTATATTATCAGTATTTCTTTAACAATAATTCCTTTGTAGAATAACTATTTTTTAGAAATACATTCAATTCTTAATTTCTATACCAGTACCAAATGCTAGGTCCATTCAATGTATATAGGCTACATATGGAAGTGCTATACAGACACAGGCGCCTGTGACAGAATCCAGAAAAGCATTATATAAAAACATATGTTGCATACGTTCATGCTAAGAAGTTGACAAAGAATGTATAAAACATAATCAAAGAATACAAGGGAATAACTTCATGTGTTTCGTTGCCTTGTACAATAATCCGTGGACCATAACCAGCTGATCATATGATTGGCCTGTTGAAATGTACGGCCGTGTATACGTTCGTACCAAAATATATTACACATCGACAAATGTGTTTATATCACCGTGGTAATATACACTCAGCTCACAACCTTGTACCAAGTACATATATATTAAGTTAAGTATATAAGTGATATAGGAAGTGCACCTTACCTTGTTGATGACATTGCCGGCTTCCTCTTACCATCCAAACAGTGATCGATCTCTATCGTAGAACCAGGAAATGAAGTCAGCTGCCAAGTTTCGTATTCGGGCACCTGGTCTAATGTACTAAGGGAAATAACTCTTTGTGTACACCTAATGTCACGCACTGGACGATATGTAGGACGATTTTCAAACGCACTGGAGTGAATTAAAGTGTGCGAGACGTTGTTAGTCCTTTAGATGTATTCTTGTTTGTAAAGTTTATTCATCTCTGTATATTTTACATGTACATTAAGCCACTACAGTTCCTTAAAGTGTGAAATATGTTGTTTGACTCGACCTGATATGTAAAATTAAAATTAGCAGAACGTCAGAATAGTTCATTATTAAGACTAGATTCTGTATCGCGATAAACTTTACTTAATTATAAATCTGTGTACCTTGGAAGTATAATATAAGGATAAAGAAATATACTAGCAGCTTCGTCGTCCCTGATGCTGTAAACCTTAAGAAATTCACATACATTGTATGTACAGAGATTGTTTCCAGAGATGTTTGGACTGTTTTTAAGATATCATAACTATGGGAGACTGTTTTCATATTTTTTCTTCAAAATGTGATTAAATAATTCAAATAAGTGATATCAATAATTAGATCAACAATCCAAATTAGTAATATCAAATATTTACTGATGTCAATATTGATTGATATTACTACCTTGAATTACTATCATTTTTAAAATTCTTCGTATTGATATGTATTTGATTTAGTGATACCATGAATTCAAATTACTGATATCAACAATTCATCCTATGACATCAATAATTTATTTAATATTAATAATTCTGTATACCAAAACAAAAAAGGTATTAGTTGTTAACCAATAATTCAAATTATTGACATCAATTTTTAAGAATAAGCGATACCACCAATTCATTTATTGAATTAATGAAATCCGCGGGTGAATTAGTGATATTAGTGTTTTGAAGTAGTGATGTTACATTTTCGTAGACAAATACTTAAACAGCTCCCATTACATAAATTCATTATCACCAAGAAACCTAGAGTCCTGGAATTGGGTCAGTGGCATGCTGAGATGGAGAGCCAACTTTTTTTTTCTTCAGACGAATTACCTTATCCAACTTTCAAGGTCGCAGGTGTCAAATGCTTTAATATCTTCAACCAACTTCTTTTCAATAACCTAGATACCAGGTATGACATGAAGGGTGATGAACTTTGTTCAAATGAATGACTGTGACATAATATCTGGGTCACTGGTGACAACATCTCAATAATGAAAAAGACCAGGGTTCTGATATTAAGACAAAAGGAAAATGTGTCTAGTATCAATAAATAAGAGGCCTGGGACCATGACACCACCAAGTTCCCCAAGATGTCTTCATCATGTTGATTTACTGGGGTAAGAAATTCAACGGAACAAAACTGATTTTGACTAAGTTATGGCTAACTACATCAACATATCTCTATGCAACGAGTTGATGCTTACATTGCATGCTGCTTGGTATGCTACCAGAGCAAAATTAAAACTTTTCAATGGAAACAAGCTACTGCTTAAATACAACATACAAATATGAAATGTGTTTCATTAAATCTCCTAAATGTTTCATTACAATATGACTGTCCTCATTGGCCACCAGTAAGAATTAAGGGAGCTTTTTATTACTGATTATTGGCTTTTTGAGAGGTGTACTGTTACTTTTCAGGTACGCCAGGCGTTCATTGACCTAGACTGACAACAGCTGGTCTGGTACCAACAAAACAAAAACATGTCAAATTCAGTTCAATATCCCATCCAGCACTCAGAAAAACAGCATAACTTGTGATTTTCATAAAATTTTTAAAGTGTCAAGGGCCATAACAAGTTGATGTGAATCAGCTAAGAAATCGACCTGCTTTGTCTCATAATACATAATAGAACAGAGAGAGTATAAAATTTCCTTTTTAAGCTGTTAAGCTAGTTTGAAACATGAACCAAAAAATTGGCAAAGGTATTTTATTTTCACGAATTGTGTAAATGTAGCAGCCCGAGTAGAAAGCTAAATGCTTAATGAAGACAACAAATGGTAAAAGTCGTCAAACTGAAGTTGATAACCAACATATGTCAATCACAGCATATTCTCACCTCTTCCTTCTGGCCACCTGACTTCCCCCTCTCCTTTCCCATTCCCTCATTTTCTCAGCTCTTCTGAACAGACGATAAGCTGACTTTTACCTTTAAATGTTTTTAAGGTGTTAAAACAAACAATACTCTTTTTTTTTTTTTTTTATTTTAATATATATATATATCAACAATGGAGCAATCAAGATGATGTTTGAGGATTACATGTTATGGTTGACTTGTTTTGAATTCCTCCAATAAATGAAATTGAAATGTTTGTGTCATATGATACAATGAAAATGAAAAACAACACATAAATAACTCATAGTCTAGAGGATAAGGTTCTGCTGCACTTATATAAACCTTGACTTCTTGCTAATGGAATCATAATAGGTATGACTTTATGTATCAAATTTACCTATTTTTTTTTTTTTTTTTTTTTCGTTACATCAAACATTAAACCAGTTGTATCTTAGTTTTATTTAGCCATATTCTTTAGTCCTCCGATCATATTTAATTCTAATTTACTCGTTTGCTCTGGTCAGAAAATGGAAGGTACTAAACTTTACTGTCTGTAAAACATTTCACTCAGAGAAAGTTAAAGAAAGTTAAATGACATAACAATTAAAAATGATGTTGGGATCATTCTCAATTGAAATCATGTCATATTTAGCATAATTAAAAACAATTTGGAGAATTTCTTTTAATTCCATTTCCAACTGGTCCTTTTTATTCACAATATCAGACATAAAGGCCCAGATTGAAAGGACTTCTTGATGAAAAGTAATAAAATACTAAACCATCATGTTTTCAACTTCCTGTTGTTAGTAAATCTGTGTATGGTACTTCTTATCTGAGGTCATGTTTCTTTCAAAAAATAAAAATTTTCTTTTTTTTTTCACAGTTAACTTAAAGAAAAATAAAATAAAACAATCATTACACCAAAATCAAGATTTATCAACGATGATTAATCATTCTGGATAAAAGTTGTAATAACTTAAACATCACATCCTATACAATGCTTCTCAAATACATATTTGAATTCAATGAGATTAATACATTTCATAAACACATGCACACAAAATTCAACAAGAGAGTTTATAAAATGCTTTAAACATCACACTCAAAAAATTCCTGTGTCTGAAACATATGGAATGAAAGTGTCATTTGTCTACATGGGCATTTCAAATTTCACATCCTGTATGTTTTTTTTGCAAATTTAAACTATAAAAAATGGATTCCAATATGCAACCATCAGAATGACTATCTTATGGGGAAAAAAAGTGTCTAACTAGCCATGTTAAAATAAATATTTGCCACTTAACCTGTAAACCACTGGACATCTTTAATGTATACCAGTTTTGTTACTTTTCTTCAAGCACAAAATAAACATGTCTTAGTCTAACAAATATCTGCGAGATCTTTGAAATTGTAATTAATTCTCCTTATGAATTAACACAATAGATATCAGTGTTTTATGAATTAACACAATAGATATCAGTGTTTTATGAATTAACACAATAGATATCTGTGTTTTATGAATTAACACAATAGATATCAGTGTTTGATGAATTAACACAATAGATATCTGTGTTTTATGAATTAACACAATAGATATCAGTGTTTGATGAATTAACACAATAGATATCAGTGTTTTATGAATTAACACAATAGATATCAGTGTTTGATGAATTAACACAATAGACATCAGTCTTTGATGAATTAACACAATAGATATCAGTGTTTGATGAATTAACACAATAGACATCAGTCTTTGATGAATTAACACAATAGATATCAGTGTTTGATGAATTAACACAATAGATATCAGTGTTTGATGAATTAACACAATAGACATCAGTGTTTGATGAATTAACACAATAGATATCTGTGTTTTATGAATTAACACAATAGATATCAGTGTTTTATGAATTAACACAATAGATATCTGTGTTTTATCAATTAACACAATAGATATCTGTGTTTTATGAATTAACACAATAGATATCAGTGTTTTATGAATTTACACAATAGATATCAGTGTTTGATGAATTAACACAATAGACATCAGTGATCTACAGCAACATGCCTGATTGATAAAATATACAGGAAATAAATGATGCACTACAAATGAACTACAGGTAACAAAAACACAAGGTGAACATTATATCTCCATAGTGGCTTAAGTAATAATATGTTAAAATATATCTTTATGTATCCTGAAAGAAATTAGCACTTTCATCTAAGTAAATGACCACCTGTACACAGTATGCCCACATCTTTCTATAATTCTCTGTACACAGTATGCCCACATCTTTCTATAATTCTCTGTACACAGTATGCCCACATCTTTCTATAATTCTCTGTACACAGTATGCCCACATCTTTCTATAAATAATTTCATGGACACTGCATGCCAACATCTTTCTATGACCACCTGTACAAGGAGTTGTGCTTTGAATTTTTAAACACATTGTTACTTGAGACACCATGGAGATATAACTAATGACCTAGAAAACAAACAAAATGGTGAACATCAAACTTATCTGTCCCAGATCAAAGTATCTACTGAAATAATCTGAAAAACTGGAGGGCTGGGTAAGGGAGGGGTGTTCAGGAGAGAACACACTAAAAAAAAACCAAACTTTTTCTATATTTGAATATTAAGCAATGTCCATTAATAACCCTTTAAAAGCAATCTAATACTACTGTATATATTTTGTACCTCCATTTTTTTTCTTTTTCTATGAAGACACTCATATTTCAGTATCAAGCATTGTACAAAGCAAATTCCTGAGATTAATTTGTAAAGTATAAATCACTTGTAAATGCCAACAAATGGAACAGTCATCAGACAAAGGAGAGGCTTGACCACTAGGTGAGATAAGACAGTCAATTAACGACTGAAAGCAAGCAGGAAGTAGCAGTACAATCAAGCTATGTACATTATATCTCTGTTCCCTCAAAAGTTTCTATCTTTTTACTTCCCCCATTTCAGTTTTCATTTTTTGGACAAAATCTCCTTCATAATTTGTATTCTAATATGTAGTAAAATTTAAAATTGAATTTATTATAAACTGTTGAGTGAAAAGCCCTAATCAAACACTGAATAATACAGAATATACAGGCCATGGTGGTTAAAACATTTTATCTTTTGTTCATTTTTGTTTGATGGATCACAGGATAAAATCTACATTCTTATATCAACTGCATTCTTTGGTAAAAAAGTTAATCAAAACCCCTATACTAAAGACATAGTAGTGAAAATTAGACATCCAACCACCATTAAATACCATCAGTAGCTTTTTATCTCCAACAATGATTTATATGACAGCAAGCTTTCGGAAAAGAATGTGTACATCGAAAACTTTATTCTATTCCTGCAAGCTATTTGTTTCTTGTCTTTATAAATGTTGACCTAATGAAGTAAATGAGTGTAACAGCTTCTACAATCCTCTGATCTGTAATTACTTCACATAACTTGGATCAACAATAGAAAATGTGAGATTAGATAATCACATAACACTTTAAGAAATAGTACTAATAAATGATAATCTAAATTGTAAATAGGAACAGACAGAGACAACACTATACATTTACTGACAGCAATGAGAAAATCTGTGTCTACTTGTATTATAAAGTGTGCATACACATGTGTAAACATTTATTACCTTATAGTATGTGAAAATGAAATTTGATACAAAACATTTCTTAAGAAAAGATTACAATATTTATCCAAGAATGGACCCTCCAAATAAGCCCAACCATATCTATTGCTGTTCTGTAGCATTACCAACCAACGCTATTTCAATGTCCTGTAATAAGCCCACCCCATGATAATATTGCAAGATAAATATATATAGTACTGTAAACAAACTTATTTTGGTGCAATCAATTTTTTTTAGCACAGTATCAGTTTTGAACAAATAAGTGAAGTGATTACTATACTGACTGTATACAGAAGCTGCAATGAGCAGGATAATATTTCAGCGCTGTATCTATGGCACGAAATACCAAAATATGAATACCACTAAAACATGTTTGTTTACAGTATGCTGTACACTACATTTTTATCATTTATTTGTTTAATAATTTATCCAATTCATTTTAATGCAAAAAAAAAAAAAGACAGACAATAATTAAAAGATTAGAGTGTCTGTACATCTATGTATATATGTACTCTTGTATTGATGTAAGTGAAAATATGAAATTTTATACCTATAAAACACTTTGGGAAAAAAAGACATTGTTAACCATATCTTTTGATATTAGCATAAAGTTGTTGAGATACATAAAATTTCACCATGAATATGTAAAGTTGTACCATCTAAATCTTTTTAATGTGAACTATCTTACAATTACAATATCTAAAAATACTGAAAGAGGAATCACATCTTCATGAGAGTAAGAAAACGAAGTGTAGGACAGGCCTAACAGTGCAAAGTTCTATTAAATATATGCACATTAAAACATTTACGATAACAGATTATGTGATGACTTGTTATGTTTAACAAAAGGGGGTTTACATTTGACGAGCATTATTATAAACATGTATTCATTTACAGAGAAAAAAAGAAAACGTCTACTGACAGGGAAATTTAAGGAGAAAAGAAATCAACTTATATTATGATAATATCACCAAGCTACCTGGCGTGATATTAACAGAAATATTTGATGACTTAATATCAATTTCTCAATCTTCCAAAAGTTAAGAAAAATGCAAAGAGTAATTAAAAAAATAAACAAACACAGCTGAATGTGTTATTGTTGTAATTTTCTAAAGACCAACAGAAAACCTACGGTAGGCATACTATCTCATATGAATTAGTCTTTTTTGCAAAAGAAATGAATCTACAAAACATTTTATATAAAGGACTTCTCAGTGAATTTGCACATGATAAACAAGTACAGTAAATGTACTTAGTAAACATATATTTTATATATAAAATGTCTATAGTAGCACTCTATGTGCTGAAAATTCTATTTCAAACATGTTATGGGCAGTTTTTCCTTCAACCAAGTTTGTAGGAGAGAAAATAGCACAGATAATGACATCTACATATATACACAAATTGAAATTCTTTTCACCAACAACAAATTTAAATAATGGAAATCAGTGTCTCAACTGTTTTGATAGATTTTTTTTATCAGAAGTATGTTGCAAATACTATAATAGTAAATGGCAGTGATAGTGAAGTCTTTTATTCTGGCAATCAGTTTTTCAACTTAAGTATTTCAACTTCTTTCCTTGAGTACGACATAAGTGAAGATATGTTTTGGATTTTAAGAAATTGTGTCATGTAAGAATTGAAGAAAGATTTAAAAAATCTGGCTATCAAATATTTCAAAAAAGAAAAGAATTGGAGGAAAGTCTGCAATATCTTGTGACGCCAAACTTCAATTAGCTAGATCTTTCTGTAAGAAATATATCAGAATTTATATTTCTAAAGGCATGCATGCTTTATCTATTTATTGCTATTTTCATTATTTAGAAATCATTAAATCATCAAACAAAACATAGGACACCATCAATTTTTTCAGATACCAAAAGCAAAATAGAGAATACACTGCCTGGAACAAGAAATGAATGATAACTGAAAATGAAAAAAATGTCAATTTTGTTGTAAATAACTTATATAATTCCAGTCCTCCTACAATATCTGATTTTTTTTCAGTGGCACAAAGGAGTGTTTTCTAAATCATTCTAACACTGGTATTGCCATCCTCGATACTCCGGGCGTTACAATCGCTTTCACTCTCTGCACCCCTGGAACATGTCATTACTAAATTGAAGGTACAATATAAGTAATTTGATTGGTTCCAGGAAAAAAACCTGATCAATCACATACTGATTAGATTAAGTCCTTTTAAAGATTACAGAGGAGTGACACCGAGCTTCAAATCCTTTACAATAATGCCGCTATGCAACCTAAAGATCCGTTTGATGTAAATCAAAGGAGTAAACTCGTCTTTTCATCTTGTCCACAAGGTGTCACACATGGAACTTTCAATTTTGCCATGACAAGTTCCAGGGGTGTAGAGAGCAAAAGTGATCATAACTCCGGGAGTACTGAGGATGTGGTATCGCTGATAAGCTGCTCTGTAGAGGTTATTCAAGTGAACATCATAAAAGGAACATGCACACAAAAATGAAAAATATGCAACATTCATTCAATACTGTAGATTGTAGGTAACCACATGCTCAGATCTGCATATATATATCGTAGTTTACTCCACTCAAGCTCAAGCATAACACTGATCTCCAGCACTTCTTTCATACAGCTTGTATACCATCTTCAAATTGAGGAGGCCTATTTCTGATCAACATCTAAATCTCAAACTTCTTGGTAGAGCCCTACTCTCTAATTGCTAAACAGAAATAGGCTTTCAATGTTCAAATTCCATTTTGACCATCCTGGTCCAGTGCTTTCAAATGATATAGTATCCAATTAAAATAAAGGAACCTCATTAGTTATCATACATTCACATTTTGTAAATACACATTTCCTTCACATTTCTTTTAATCACACCAGAAAATCAAAGCTAGTATTTTCCTAATTAAATGCTATGCAAGACACCAGAGTGAAAAAATCTACTTGCAATTATTTTTGTAATAATTTAATTGCTTCAAAAATCCTGAGACGCGAGGCATGAACAGCAGGCGTTGATTCCTCCTAATGATTGTTGCACATCAAACATATCTTCCTAAGTCTGGGTAGGTGGTGACACTTTCCCGTGGTGATGATTCAACTCAGGCTCAAGTCATGTTCATATCAATGGTTAGAAAAAAATCTGTAAGATAAAAAACATCAATAACATCTAAATTATATGTCCTGCTGTTTTTTTATCTGTTTTATGTTTAATTCTGTTGTCAAAGTAATATAACACCACTAGCTTTAAATAGTCTAATGAACTAGAAGTTCTTATAACACAACCAGTAGAAGATTAGAGTGTGACGTTTCGATGACTACACGGTAACCTTCATCTTATAACATAACCAGTAGAAGATTAGAGTGTGATGTTTCGATGACTACACGGTCACCTTCATCTGATAACACAACCAGTAGAAGATTAGAGTGTGACATTTCGATGACTACACGGTAACCTTCATCTTATGTCAAAACCAGTAGAAGATTAGAGTGTGACGTTTTAATGACTACACGGTCACCTTCATCTTATAACACAACCAGTAGAAGATTAGAGTGTGACATTTTAATGACTACACGGTCACCTTCATCTTATGTCAAAACCAGTAGAAGATTAGAGTGTGATGTTTCGATGACTACACAGTCACCTTCATCTTATAACACAACCAGTAGAAGGTTAGAGTGTGATGTTTTAATGACTACACGGTCACCTACATCTTATAACACAACCAGTAGAAGATTAGAGTGACGTTATAATACAACCAGTGGAAGATTAGAGTGTGACGTTTTAATGACTACACGGTCACCTTCATCTTATAACACAACCAGTAGAAGATTAGAGTGTGATGTTTCGATGACTACACAGTCACCTTCATCTTATAACACAACCAGACAACACAGTCACCTTCATCTTATAACACAATCAGTATAAGATTTGAGTGTGATATTGACTACACGGTCACCTTCATCTTATAACACAATCAGTAGAAGATTAGAGTGTGACTTTTCAGTTGATAAAGACATGAAATTACAAAACCTATAGAAAGATTACATGAACATGTAAAATCTAACAGTATATGAAATATTATCCATTATTTTCCTCACAAATTACCAATGCTTCAATGTTCTTACCGGAAACATTCTCTATCACAAATCGTCTTGGCTTTTCCTCACACATTGCGTTATTCTTCTTCTAAATTCTGCTGGTTCTTCTCGCCACATTTTCTGAAAGGATCAGCAAAACATTGTATCATAACAAAGACGAAAACGATTCTTAAAATTATAGCCTATCCTTCATTATCATAGCTTAGTATAGTCTATATTTATGGGATGATGTTGGAAATTTTGTGATGGAACAAAAGCAAAAAAAAAAGAACAACACATTTTTCAAAGTCATTTCACATGCATACATAAGAAACAACACACCTAAATGACACTTTAATAAACAATTCTAAACCTTCTGTAATACTTTGTATTATAATCTATCTTTTATCATATGAAAGACTAGGCCTTTCTTTCTACAACTGCAAGAAAGTGAACACATTCACATATTCTTCAATATTGATATAAACACTGTATTCCTGGAGTTATGCTTAGGGCATTGTCTTAACATATATACAAACGCAAACATGTATATAATCATATACCTGAAATAACATAGATATTTCATCAGTGATGTGTAAGCCTTAATCTGGAGTTTGATTAAGTAAACTGAAAGCACTTATTATTGAATCTGAGTTTAACAATTGAAATATAAAATCACATTATCAAAATAAAATACTAGTATAAACATTTCAGTTTATATCATTTTCTTATTTGTTTTATTCTCATTCAAAAATGTACATAAATGAAATAAGAGTTCCACTTACAGCAGCATCTACATTAGCTGGTGATTCATCATTTGGGTCAGCTAACATTGAGATAACACTAAGTAAAATTGTCTCTACAGTATGCACAGGTAACCATCTTTCTGCTGCCGTTTCATATCCATATTTATCATCTCCAGGCTCATGCAGAATAGAAATACACACATTTCCATCTTCTCCAACTGCAATAAATCAACCAAATTTGCAATATCTTACATCAAATCAAAACTAAGAAATGCATACAAATCACAAAAAAAAGTTTCATGTTTAATATCCACTAAGGAGAATTAATAATGTAAGTTTTTGCTAAATAATTCAACATTGCAATGAGATTTCCCGTTGTTATCTTCAACTTACTATTTGGATGCCACATCCGTGACTGGAAAATCATCTTTGGAGGTTTCTGAGGATATTCTTTAGGGAAAATGAGGTGTGCCTTAAAGTATCCCCCTTCACTGTAAAACAGAAAATTGTGGTATATCATATAAATATAGTTAAATGATCTATAAGACTACAACACTAAGAGCAGCAGAATACAAAGACTGTGTACAAGTTAATGGTGTATGTCAGTGTGGCTTGTTGTTAACTAATTCAGTCTACCATTCACCTGGCAGAACATGCATATTTAGTTCAGCTAGCAGAGCTGTGGATTATCAAGCAAGAGACCCGGGTTTTGATTGCTGAAGTAATTCATAATTATCTATTTAATCAAAGACAATCAAATTAATCAGATATATTGCATTTGGGGTACATTATTGTTGTTTTTCTTTGGATATAAATTAAAAAATTCATTCAATTATATGTAATTATGTAGAAAGGAGTGCTAGAACATATAAAACTTACTATGGAGTATCATGTGGGCCATATATATAATTATGTAGAGTGTGAGAACATATAAACTTACTATGGAGTATCATGTGGGCCATATATATAATTATGTAGAGTGTAAGAACATATAAACTTACTATGGAGTATCAAGTGGGCCATATATATAATTATGTAGAGTGTGAGAACATATAAACTTACTATGGAGTATCCTGTGGCCCATATATATAATTATGTAGAGTGTGAGAACATATGAACTTACTATGGAGTATCCTGTGGGCCATATATATAATTATGTAAAGTGTGAGAACATATAAACTTACTATGGATTATCCTGTGGCCCATATATATAATTATGTAAAGTGTGAGAACATATAAACTTACTATGGAGTATCCTGTGGGCCATATATATAATTATGTAAAGTGTGAGAACATATAAACTTACTATGGAGTATCCTATGGGCCATATATATAATTATGTAAAGTGTGAGAACATATAAACTTACTATGGATTATCCTGTGGGCCATATATATAATTATGTAAAGTGTGAGAACATATAAACTTACTATGGATTATCCTGTGGGCCATATATATAATTATGTAAAGTGTGAGAACATATTAACTTACTATGGAGTATCCTGTGGGCCATATATATAATTATGTAAAGTGTGAGAACATATAAACTTACTATGGATTATCCTGTGGGCCATATATATAATTATGTACAGTAGAGTGTGAGAACATATGAACTTACTATGGAGTATCCTGTGGGCCGTATATCATGACCTCCCATTTGAAGATATCATCATCGTCAATCAAACCCGCTGAGAATCCCTCCACAGGATTTTTGTTTAACTCTGTAAAAGGAACACAACTGATTTAAATACATGTTCAAGTGACATTTCGACATTTTTGCAAATAGTCCATGTTTTCTCATTTATTTTTATCAAATCAACAGTAAAATTGAACTTTTATAAGCCATAAAGGGTCTACAGAATTTCAACCATAATATGAAATGTGACATATATAAGGCATAAAGGGTCTACAGAATTTCAACCATAATATGAAATGTGACATATATAAGGCATAAAGGGTCTACAGAATTTCAACCATAATATGAAATGTGACATATATAAGGCATAACATGCATAATTGCACAGATATAAATTACCATTTATGAATTCAATTAGAACAAACACATTTTTCAGTGACACTTGACATGATTCTAGGAGTATATGTCCATGGTTAAAAAAATAAAGATAACAAAACCTTTTGAGATAAAGGCAGGATCTTATCATTGAAAGCTTTAGCAAACAAAAATTAGAACTTCAAGATATGTTTAAAAATATCTCACATGAAATGAAAGCAAATTTGAAATATTTTTTTGATCACATAACTTAGAAAAGTTGCATTTTGATTGGTTTTAAAGAGGAAATTTGAATGAAAATTGAATAACATCAACTAACAGGAGAGAAGTTTATTTTATTACAATGTATGATTTTTAACTGAAATGTCTATCAGTTATTCAGAAGAGGATATTTTCAAGTTTTAACAACTTATATATCATTAAACGTTAGAATCCATGTGTCACGATCACCTGTAGATTTTCAATATATTCTTTTGTATACCACGTGTGTTTGTTTATATTTCGTATATCACATGGTCCGTCACAGGTAAGTATAGGTAAGGTAAGGCGAGATTTGGACGTGCGCGACAGCGGTGGGAGGCTACGGGTAAGCGAGGTACAATGGTGATGTTGTGATAGACACCTGTAGCAGAGGAATCTCATACATGGATATATATACAGGCATGGAATACAGACCATGGTAAGTTACTAATACTTTCCTTATATTTCTGTTCATTAATCTTATTTCTTATTGTCTTTATACAAGTTCAATTACATTTATTTTGATTATATTGAAGTGCGGTCCAATCAAGCGTGACGATTGATTAGGTGTAGTGTACGATTGTGTAAAGTTACATTTTGTTGTTTGTATTTGGTCATTTTAATTATGTATAACTGTAATAGAACGTGGGTATATCATGTCATGAACCTTGTATTTATAGTGTAATTGATGATCACTTATTAATGTGTTATTTTAACGTCAAATTAAGATAGTGATTTTGACCGTTGTTTAAAACTACGGAAGCCTTGAGATGCCATATAGTGTTATTAGTCGTAAGGAAGTTTTATGTCTAATTGGACCGACACGCTGGTAAAGTTTCAGTTTATAGATAGTTATATAGTATGTAGGGAATAGGAATGTTAATTTGTGTTTAAATGTGAGTAATATATTGTATTGCCGTATACAGTCTATAATGTGAAAATTAATGTATAGAAGCCGTGAGCATGCATGCATGCATGGTTGGTATGTAAATGTTATGTTTGTGTCTGTTTTAAAGCTCTCCATGATGAGTTGAGTCAACTCCAGACAGGACCTAGCGAGGCTGTGTACTTCGGCAGCAGGACCAGTTTATGGCATTGGTCATTTGGTCAGCCACAGGGAGTTTCATGTCGCCGTATTTCAGGCAGGTCAGAGTGACGTTCCTTCATGATTCGGAACGGCCGTCTTACGCCTTGGACGACCCAGTGATATATGTGTAAACGCTTTAGACCTCCACACATAGAGGTGCAGTTGCGTCCATACATGTCTTTGTACAAGGCAATTTACTTGTAAGACCTGTCGACAGGAAGGTACACTTTGTGTATTCTGGGAGGAACACTTTCTATGGTTCTCTGAGGTGATTACTATGCGGGATTCGCCCTCGTGAGTATCGGAAGCTGTACTGAGCTGTGCTGTGTTGGGATGTTTCCATGCATGGCCATAGACTTTATGAACTTAATTTGTTTTGTTATCTAGTAAAGTGAATGTGTGGTTTGAGTATGTCATCTTGTGTATTGTATATAAGCCATTGTGTGTCCAATAAATCGTATATTTTGTATATGTAGTTGGTTTGTTCTTTTTTTTCCGAACATCTAAATCTGACACTTGTCCCACGTTACACCATGTTCTCCTTTATAGTGCGAGTAGCTTTTAAACTATTTTTTATACATGTAACTAACTATTTAGTAAAAATGAACCAAGTACTCTGTTCTCCTGCCTTTCAACAAGCACATGGTTTGCCTGTAATATTGTCTTAATTCTTTAATGATTTTTTTCTAAAACACATTTAAATACTGACTTTAAAAAGCAATCATTCAGGTTGTAATACATAACAAGAATGTCACAGACAAGAAGAGCTGGTCAGAACTGAGAGCTAATAGTTTTTAAGAATTTGTGAAGGAGGGAGTAGTGTAGAAGTTGAGAGTACAGATTGCTGTACTAGCCTTGGCTAGTGGGAAGTTCCCTTTAAATGAGTAGAATAGAGTGTCCTTTTACATGTGTAGAATCTGGTCTACATCATCCTACTTTTCTCTTTATTGTTTTTTATTTCACCAATGACCGACTTATGGCTGCATGGCAAAAGATAAATTTGATGTGACTAAATGACGAAAAAATGAAATGAGAGAAAATAACACTTTTGCAAATGATATCTAAAGGCAGTTAATCTATATCAGTACTTTTTTTAGTTTTAATTTTAACTTTCAATCTTGAGCTCTTTTCGGGTTTTTTTGAGCATTTTTTTAAATTCTTTTTATTTAAAACAGTTTGTCCAAGCAGGGACATATCATACAGAGGGATAAGTAACTAGACCCAGTGGTGACTTCTCTGTTATTAACTTTTGTGTTTGTTTATTGAGCCATGAAGCTGTTAAGTCCCCTCTTCTTCTTGCCTCTATCTAATCTTATCTGTGCAGTAATAATGTAGTTAGTGTGGACTTGGCACTAACCAGTCTGATCAGAGCCATTTTGTCAGCAAGTGTTGGGACAAGCCCATCTTTGTATAAAAATGAGGCTAATAAACAAAAGTAAAGTATCACAAAAGTGACATCAATTAGAAAATTACTCAGCTTTTTAATGCCATCTATTCAAAGATGAATCTTCTCCACATTTCTGGCAACATGCGGTATACAATATAGGGTGGTATTTCAGTTGTGAATAGCTTAAACATGTATTTCGTTTTATGCATATCAAAAGTTAACAGAAATTTGTCGTAACAGTTAGCACAACCAATTTGAAGATGAGTAAGCTTTCCAATACTGTTGATTTTGAAAAGATTAGATATATATACTTTTGGAGAAAAATGGTTTATAAAACCAGCAAAGCTAGTTAATTTTGCTACAGCATTACAAAGAGATAAAGGCTGTTTCTCATCCCTCTGTATATACTCCCTGGACAAAGTTAACTACAAGTAACAATAACAGTTGAAAAAAAATAGTTTAATTAAATTTTAAAACTTAATCCATCCATGGGATTTACGTCAATTCTTATTAAAAAGAATAATGATGAGAAAATGAAACATGACTGGTGAATGATGATGTCATGTCAGCAAACTGCTGAATAGGAAGCCTCAATTTACCCCGTACCATTCTTCTAATATTGTCCCAACTTTAACGTTAAAATCTGTCCTTCACAATAGAGTATTTGGGAAGTGAATCGAAAGACTACCTCGGTTGCCAAGTTTCCCATCGTCTTGGTGTAATACGAATAACATCATGTGTGCGTCTTGTGTAATGATAATGCGCATTAACACTAAATGTCTTTTTTTTCCTTCAGCACTGATCATGACCGAGGTGAATCATAGACTTTTAGCTCGTGGTTATAAGTTTCCGATACTAAATAAAGTTGACGTAAATAAATAAATTACAAAGAAAAAACTCCTGTCAACTAATGATTACACATCAATCGCACTGTTAGTGAAATAAAGAAAATAAATACTAACAGGTATATAAACTCTAAATCCTCACACTAAGAAAACAGTAAACAGTTGTCAGTCACGTCTGCTCGCACATTTTATACGCTATTGTTCCTCTTTTTGCCAGTGTAATGTCGTATTCGACGGCATGCTATGTCCAACTTGACCGGAATAAAACGATTAAGTGAAACTTTTAGAAAAATATAGACTACTATCTTACCAGCAAGTTGTCTTCGGAGTAAAATAGTTGCCTGATCGTTGGCCATAAGAAGAAATATCCCTTGTCACCCAGTGGAGATGGTGAAGATGGCTGGAAATGACTTACACGCAAGCGCAGTTACCGAAAACTCAGCTGAGCGACACGGGGAGATAACCCAATGAAAACAAATAGTCAAAAGGCATAAAGGGCGTGATGGTTATCAACATAAATTATGTGGCGTTTGTTTGAGTTACCTCCTCGTTTAGAACATCAAATTTTAAATGATCTGTAATTTCATCAAAATTGTTAATAACAGCAATAACTTTTACTATTATAGACATGATTATGTATATGTTCGTTCGTGAAAAGCAATGTTGCTTTTAACCGTAGAAAATCCATATGTATTATTGTTTAACGTTAACATGTACTTAAAACAATATATATCATAAAAGTGCTGATTTTTTATCGAGATAAATATATCTATATTTATCCAAGACATAGCTTTTGATAATAAGTGTAGTTCATGTGATACTATATCATTTACTTAGATTCAGTCCGCTGAACCTTGGCTGTAAGCTATATCTACATATAGTGTAGTATTTATCTTCTTTTTAATGACAATACATACGGAACCTTGTGTCATTAAACGAATATTCACACCTTCATTAACGTGCTTGCCATCAAATTGATGTTTATACTGCGACTTGAACAGATTGATAAAATATAAAAGTGTACCAAACTATAAATAATAATAATATGAAATAGATAGTGTTAAAAAAAAACCAAAGGTATTTCACATTACTATATACGATGATGTCCCTGAGCTTGTATGCTTAAATTTATTTAGAGACTCTGCAGATAAATAAAAAGAAGATCCAGAGTGGTATGGTATAAACAAACTTTAATCTGTATCTGATGTAATCTATTTTGGTTTGGAATAATAAAGTTATAATGACGGGGTAGAATCGGTAGAAGTGACTTGAAGTTTCATGTACGACTGCGAGTCTACAGTGATTAAGTAGACTGTGTATCTATTACAGCATGGTTATTCTCATGGTGTTTCTATATACATACATACAATATCAAGTCAAATTTTACTCAAAGCTGAAATACGTATAAAAACCATTAACACAAGTAGACAGGTTCTAACAAGTCACACCATAATACATAATTCACAATATGTGTAACGATAGGACAAAGAAAAGGGGGCGCATTGGTAGCCCTAACTATTGGTATAGAGGGTGTGTAATTCGAGACCCCAAATGGAGGAGGACTGACTTCCTCGAGTACACTGGCGGGCGTGTTTGGCTGGTCGTCAAATGTACTGGGATGTTAATGTGTTGGCATATCGGTGGTGCGGGCCAATCGACTCAAACTCTGACCAAACTGACGAACTTCGTCGAAGACACTCTGCATTCACATGCGTCTCATCCGTTTCAGAGGGTGGGCCGGCCAAGATGAACATCGCTGATATAAGTTCTGTATTTCCTGTCAGGTGTTCCTATCCCATATGGGGAAGGGGGGGGGGGGGGGGGGTTAGCTCGTTTGAATGGTTAATGTTGGAAATGACTTACACACCTTTGTGGTAGGTGCTGACTAATAATTAAATGCTTTGAACAACGCCTTGACCCCTACTTCAGCAAGGCGCAGTGGCTATGAGGAAAGGCTACAGATAAAAGCCGATGATGTACTAACCAAATTTAGAGAAATTGACATGTCGCGGCAGTAGTGACCTCAGGTCCATTGTCTGATGCCATTCATATGGAATTTCGCAGGTACTGACGGTTCTCTTCGTAGGCTTCGCAGGCTATTGGCACCACCAAAAGCCTTCTTATTCATCTACAAGTCATTACACCCTTTGTGGTAAAGGCGTTGCTATGGGTTGATAGAGGTATTAGTGATTGCAGAAAAAACGTTGATTGACAATGGCAGGCGTGATGTCAGGAGATTGAATCACCGCCTCTTGAAGTTACAGAAGCTACCCCTAATGGCTAGAAGGCGGCGAATACTGATCATGTAGGTTGTCTCGGAACTGGAAATACCAGCGTAGAGGCTCAAGAATGCTTAATCCGGGGACAGGAGCAGGTCTCTGCAGTAACCAGAAACCAATGCATGTTCTGGGCTAGACCTAATGAGGCATACTGGTTTACTTGTCTCGAAGTCCCACACACCATCCTCGATTTCATCGGCAAGAGTCAGTTTTTTCATAGGCGGTGGTAGAGGGTAACGTATCACATACTTTGACAGGCTACTCTTGTAGGCATGACGTTCCATCTGTGTGGTATGTTGGTGTCTGGGCATCACTGACACCAGGGAATTTAATGACTTTAATTTTTGTTTGGCTATCGAAGACACTGTGGTAGATTCAGAACCGTCCAGTTCCTGAATCACTCACCATTCACTGGTAACTCATTGGTGAGTCATTCACTAATCACAAGGCATTAATCACTACTTTTCTGGGGTTGCTTAGCAATTTATACAGACAGGAACATTCCTTTCGTGACCATTTTTGCCACAATATGAGTATCATCCAGTCTCGTGCCGTCTTATGACATTGGTCTATTAGTTTTGTTCTTTCCATATGTACTGTTTCCGATTTCACAGAATTGCAAGTAAACAAACTGAGGTATCTCTTCCCTTATAACGAGGTGAAAACTGAAAAGGATAAATAACATTGAATTTGTTGTCATATCGTTCGCATTCATATAGCCATGAATGCCACCTGAAACCAATTCATTGCTCACGTACGTCGCTAGACCATTGACCTTGGTCGAGTAGGCACCGCCTATAGAGAGGAATCTACCCAGAAACCTATATCCAACCTGTATGTTGTGTCTCAGAGTTACCCTAGGTTGAGGCCAGCATGCCTCTCCTTAGATACATTAAGCTATATGTAAATATTTCGGCTAAATATTTAGCGATTGTGCATGGTTATGTGATGCCTGATCGGGATCTCAGTCGGTCTAGAGTTTGCCATCCTCGATACTCCAGGGATTACGATCACTTTCACTCTTTGCACCCATGGGGCATGTCATGGGAAAATTGGAGGTTCCACGTGGTCATTTTACCCTCTAGATCCAAGCAAATAACTTCGCTTGTTCCTTCAATTATACCATGACATATTCCAGGGCGTGAAGAGAACGAAAGTGATTGTAACCCCTGGAGTATCGAGGATGAGTATTTACTTTCGAACCTTAGTCCTCGGGAACAAATTTCGGGGTCATGTATTCATACATCTTCATGTGCGGTATAATGGAATGTAACCGGAATTCCTTTCTCAAGGTCATACAGTGGCGACTTCTTTCACTTCTGTGTCAAATTCATTGCTTGTTGAAAATTCTTGTCTTAAGACTTTATTACCAAATATGGCTATATTATAATATTACCATGGTTTAAGAGAAGTGTCCGAAGCAAAATTTCACAATTTCAATATAGATTGTTTTCTCTCGTTTTGTAAGTTCATGTCTACATTTACCAAATTTTGCATAAACAGCTGAGGTAAAGATCCATATGAGAAAATGTAGCTGGTTTTCATCGAATGTCTCGGAAAATGATTTGGGGGTGGTTGCGCGGGGTGAGTTTTCCCACACACAATTCGCTGTATATGTATCACTCGATTACTGATAATCGAGGCATTTCTTCTTTACTCGATGTATTCAATCACATTATCTGTATTAAACAAAAATAAACATGATTTTGATACTTTTCTGTCTGGCATGGTTGTGTCGTATGGGTTATGTAAAAAGCAGGAAAAATCATGTGTGGTCAAATATTCATAACAATATATGATTGGAAGGTCTACATGTTAACAAACGATAAAACTGGTCACGTATATCGGTACGTAGCTCCAAAGAGTTCGTGATCGAGTTTCTCGGTCTGTGAAATCAAAGTGAACCCTGACAGTGACTTTGTTAAAACCAGACACAACAATCACAAGTCTATGTCTGGATTGATTCGTCCCTTACAGAAAAGGTTTAGATCGTCCCTTACAGAAAAGGTTTAGATCGTCCCTTACAGAAATGGTTTAGATCTATATTCTTAAATCCTAATGCGTGGTAGTATTTAGTTTGTTGTGCACAAAACAAGTCTATAACCATTTTATATATACATGTTAAAACATGAAATTAGAAATGTAGAAATCGTTTTCGGTTTACCTGTATGTATGCTAACCAGTAATCATTAGACCTGAACATATTATGTTTACTAATGAAGTAGTTACCTAACGTCGCTCCATCAAATTCTACAAATGGAATTAAATGACAGGTCAATTGTCGATACGACACGGTGATAATGAGATGACAAGTTATGGTAGCAGACGACATTCAGTAGTTACCTCCCCTCTGTCATGATACACACACAGGTGTGCAAGTACAGGTAACGCGCGCGTGCTTTGTGTACAATACGCAGCGATTTTAATAGTAAAACTTCATCTGTGCCAGTTAACACGTCACAATGTTTTGGTGATATCCGCTTTTCCTGAGTAAAGGCTGATGAAATAGGAATATGCCATGATGTTCTTCATAATCATATGTTGATTGATTCAGTATCCATTTACGCTGTGTACGGTGCCATAGGCAGACGGAATTATTTATTAATGATATGCTGTGGACCGAAATGACATCATTTCAAGATATGGCGATTGGTAGTGCTAGAACAGAATCGTTATATCGCCCAGACTCCGTATGTGTGCTTGTCGCTTGGAATGTGGGGGGTCATCCCCGTCCTCACCCCACGGTCAGTTTGATATAGACGACTATTACAGCCTTGCCCAGACGATGGGTGACCGGGAGGAGGATGACAATCCCAGCACCCCTACCGAAGATGATGTCTACACACAGCTGGCTCAGAAAGAAAGGGATCTCACCCTTGCGGCGGAGTTAGGGAAAGCCTTATTGGAGAAAAACGCTGAGCTAGAGAGGAAAAATGAACTATTAATTGAGGAGTACTCCAAAAAATTAGAGGTATAATTACATATGTGTCGTTTGCTTTCTGTTATAAATCATGTCACCAGACTCACCATGTGATTGGTAAAAAGGAAATATTTTGTTCTTAGTCTATATATACATACAAACAAATACTTTGTAATGGGGAGTTCATGTACATTAAAAATAGAACAAATAATTAGAGAATTAAAACAGATGTTGAAAATATTGTGGTATAGAAGTGTTTATTATAAATCTTAATTGTCAATTTCATATGAAGATTTATTGAATGAAAACCCAGTATTGTGTGTCTATGTATTTCATTCAGAAATTATTTAATTACATATAACTTTAAAGTTAAATTTATTATTTAAAATATTTAGAATTCAAAATATGAAAAGAAAAACTATAAGGTTTTTGAAAACTAATGTCAAATGTTTTTACACCAAATACAAAAAGTTGTGAAAACAGCATCAATTTGTACAGAAGTCAGAGTAACTGACTTAGCAGCCGTGAAATTTGATAATTCAATATTTAGCATAATTTCTATGGTAATTTTAAAATCATTGATTTAAACTATGTGTCTAATGAAATACTATAACACCATTACATGAGAAAGATAATGACTGATGAATCATTATGCCTGAGTCATGTGGTTTTAGCAGCGTTAGTCCTTTGTTGAACTTGGTTGACAATAACACAGATGGGGACTCCAGAATGGAGAATATCCAAACGAATGACAGGATTACAACAAAGGAGTACAAGCAGAAATAATGTTAATGTAAAAATACTGTTGATGTTTGGCTATAAACCTTTGTCCAGTAAGCCCTCACATAAACTTTCCCACCACCAAGATAACAATGATAATGTAAGACCAAATACAATTTCATTATTCTGTTATAAGCCCATCCCCAGACTGAGATGTCAGAGTATATATATATATATGTCCTGTAATAAGCCCACCCCTAGACTGTGATGCCGAGTATATATATCTTGTAACAAGCCTACCCCTGACTATGAAGTCAAAGTATATACATCGTGTAATAAGCCCACCCCCAGCCTGAGATGTCAGAGTATATATATATATAGATGTCCTGTAATAAGCCCACCCCCAGCTTGAGATGTCAGAGTATATATATATATAGATGTCCTGTAATAAGCCCACCCCCAGCCTGAGATGTCAGAGTATATATATATATATAGATGTCCTGTAATAAGCCCACCCCCAGCCTGAGATGTCAGAGTATATATATATATAGATGTCCTGTAATAAGCCCACCCCCAGACTGTGATGTTGAGTATATATGACATGTAATAAGCCCACCCCTTACTGAGATGTCAGAGTATATATAAGCTTTCTAAGCTCATAACAGGATGTTATGGTACAATATAATAGAAAACATATGTAAAAAAGCATGAACATGTATAAGCTGGAGTCTGTAGTACAATTAAAGTTGTTAATAGGGACAACAGAAATAGAGTGGTCTACAGACTGCAGTCAGGTAATAATTATATCACTGGGCATTCCCCCAAAATCTCAAACTCAAAATCACAAACTCAAAATCACAAACACCAAATCTCAAACTCCAAATCTGAAACACCAAATCTCAAACATCAAATCTCAAACTCCAAATCTCAAACATCAAATCTGAAACATCAAATCACAAACTCCAAATCTCAAACACCAAATCTCAAACACCAAATCTCAAACACCAAATCACAAACTCCAAATCTCAAACACCAAATCTCAAACACCAAATCTCAAACATCAAATCACAAACTCCAAATCTCAAACACCAAATCTCAAACACCAAATCTCAAACACCAAATCACAAACTCCAAATCTCAAACATCAAATCTCAAACACCAAATCTCAAACATCAAATCACAAACTCCAAATCTCAAACACCAAATCTCAAACACCAAATCTCAAACACCAAATCACAAACTCCAAATCTCAAACATCAAATCTCAAACAACAAATCTCAAACACCAAATCTCAAACTCAAAATCTCAAACATCAAATCTCAAACACCAGATCTCAAACACACAAATCACAAACAAATCTCAAATCTCAAACACAAATCTCAAACACCAAATCTCAAACACCAAATCTCAAACACCAAATCACAAACTCCAAATCTCAAACATCAAATCTCAAACACCAAATCTCAAACACCAAATCACAAACTCCAAATCTCAAACATCAAATCTCAAACACCAGATCTCAAACACAAAATCACAAACTCCAAATCTCAAACTCCAAATCTCAAACACCAAATCTCAAACACCAAATCTCAAACACCAAATCTCAAACATCAAATCTCAAACACCAAATCTCAAACTCCAAATCTCAAACATCAAATCTCAAACACCAAATCTCAAACTCCAAATCTCAAACATCAAATCTGAAACATCAAATCTGAAACACCAAATCTCAAACATCAAATCTCAAACACCAGATCCCTACCCCGAATTCTTTCCCAGATAGAGGGGGAGCCTTGAAATTCAGAATTTAATGTTTTCAAATCAGCTGCCAATTGCTGTACACATAAAGATGCCGTCCATCAAATAAAAATGATATCGTTAGGATATTTGGATCAGGACAAGTTTCAACATGATAGACTCTGTGTAAATTTATGATAAACAGCAGAGGTTGAATTACTACCTAGGTATGGCATGGTAATTCTGGAATTGATGTGAAGTGTGATGATTTTCTGAAAACTACAATCTACACAAGTTCAGATATGTAAGGGGGTACTGAACTTGTATCTACTTATACGACATGATTGAAATATAAATGTTTTATAATGAATAGATATTGCTGTAACATCAAAATGTAAATAATGTCTCCTTTCCTATGAAAACAGCTCAAAGAGGTAATTTTATGGGATTTTTTTTTAATTTTGGAGGATGAGGGCATGATTCAGGAATGTAACATATTAAATGACTTCGGTTTTTTTCAGAGTGTAACTACACTTGCCTGGTACATATTTGCATTGTATTGAAATATAAGTAGATAAGTAGGCCGATACTATTTTCAGATAACTTTATTATCCAAAATGATGGAGGTCTGAAACATACAAAAAGTAACATTGTAAATAAAATCAACTATCTGTTGGTAAGACATAAGTAATAGACTAACAAGTAAATACATAATCCTCTATCCCTCCCCGAGTCATTTATAAGTATTTTAAATGACTGATTTAATGTTTTTGTCCTTGTGGGAAATATGGATGGAATAAGTCTATTACTGTTCATTGTCACTGAAAATGTGATATGCCTTAACACTGTTATTACATTGTGAGATCAAATTATGTATCAATTAACAGTAAATGTAACATACAAAGAAAATGAAATTAAAATGATAAGGTACTATTTGTACATTAATTAAAAAGTAGAAAAGTAGAACTGTCATTGGGCAGACTACCCTCCAGTTCGGGGATTATTCTGCCCCATTTAATGCTCATAATCACTAAGCCATTTTGGCTCTTGTCGTTGTCGATTAGGACGTCTTGGGGTAAGGTCAACGGATAGTTGCTCTGGTCTGTTTGTCACGATCCTCCTGGGTGTGACTGGTGTTGCAGGTGAGGTAGTTGGAGGATGTGGTGACGGGGGTAGCCTGGGCGATGCTGGAGAGGGAGACGAATTAACCATTTGTGGGGATCCGTCCAATGCCAAGGGTGTTTGCGGTTTAGATTGGACTGTATGAGACGTCCTATCCTGCACAGGAGGTGGACTGTTACTCAGATCTTGTGAAGCTGGTGCACGCTTACTGATCCCTTGTGGATTGATGTCCAGACTGGGCTTCAAAGGATTTGCCGGGACCACTGGAGTTCCGCTCGTCGGTGGTGTAAAGTTTGGAATGTCCCTTTTGAAGTAATGTTTCAAGTCCTGCTCTATGGATTGCTTTTCAGGGGGAGAATACACAGGTGTATACTTGCGTAGAAACTTTCGATTGCGAAGCGTGATTCTGCCCGACCCGTCGATACGTACGACGTATTGGTCATATTGGTGAACCTCTATAACAGTTCCGGTTTTATCCCATTTTCTCGGATATGGTCCAGTTTGGTTTTGAATCCTGACGAGGTCTCCAACTTTTAGTGGCAGCAGACGCTTCGTATGTTCAGCTAAGCGTTCGGCGGTCTTCATGTGTCTGATACGTAAAGCCTCTTCTCTCAGGGTAAGCGTATCACTCCATGTCTCGTGTGGCTTATAGCGGCCTGGTAAGATTGGGATGAAGTCTCGAATGGCCCGCCCAAAAACACACATTGCTGGCGATAATTTCGTATCCCTGTCTGGAGTGTTACGGTATTGCAGCACTGCACGCTGGAAGGAGTCTGTGTCCAATTCACCATTTGGACCAGTGTTGTTTGTGATCATGCGCTTCACAGTCTTCACGCCAACTTCTGCTCTACAATTGCTATGAGGAAAGGCTACAGAAGAAAGCCTGTGGTGCACACCCCATGTTTTTAGGAAATCTCTGGTTGTTGAAGCTGTAAATTCCGGGCCGCCATCAGAAGACAGTTCATCTGGTATTCCAAATGTGACGAATGTGCGGCGTAAGCAATCAACAAGGCCAGATGCGCCATCTTGTGCCCTTTCAACAATTGGCCAATTTGAGTATCTGTCTACAATCACCAGGTAATTGCCGCCTTTGTAGTGGAAAAAGTCGGCACAAACACACTGAAATGGATATAAGGGGTAGACAGATGGAGTTGGCGGGGCGCTGGGTTGGGATGGGGCATTTCTGTTGCAATGGTTGCATGAGTTTCTAAGCTTGGTGATGTCGTTGCATATGCCGGGCCAAAACACAGATGTTTCTGCTCTTGACATCATGGATGAAGTGCCTTGGTGGGCTGAGTGTAGCGCTGTCAGCACGTCTGTTCTCAATGAAGGTGGTATCACTATTCTGTCCTTATATATGATGACTCCATCGATAGTGGAGAGGTTGTTACGGAACTGATGATATTCTCTCAGGGGAACTGGAAGATCGTTTCGTGTTTCTGGGATGCCACTTTCAATCATCTGTACGAGCTGGAACATGTACTCGTCGCTTGTTGTGGCAGTCCTTATTCTATCCCAGGTTATACACTGAAGTGAGGTGACTGATGACAATGCTGTCGAGTAGAAGATAGCTTCGCTACTTTTCAATGGGATTTCCAGTGTGTCATCTGCGATTTTGTGATTATGTGTTTGGATGGTATGTTGCGCCTCATTCTTGTTGCAGATATGAACAGAAGCAATATCATCGATTAAAACCATGCTATCAGATTTCCCAACTGGGTGACGAGAAACGGTATCAGCAGCTCGATGTTTGGCGCCGGGCACGTGTAACATTGTGAATTTGTAACGTAGAGTTTTCTCTTTTAGGTTACGAAGTCTTGAATTAGGAATATCTTCTAGTGATCTGTCACCAAAAAGTTTGATTAAGGGCTTGTGATCCACAGCGATGATTAGCTTGTCACATCCGAGAACAAAGTATCTCGCTTTTTCTAAAGCATCAGCAACCGCAAGTGCTTCGCCTTCTACGGGGGCATATCTGGATTCGGTGGCGCTAGTGAACCTGCTCCCAACAAGAGTTATTTTCCATCCGTCTCGGCAACAGAATGGCACGGTTTTGGAGCAATTGCAATGTTTTTGGAAAAGCCAATATCCTATGCCATTCTTTGACCAATCTGTGGCAAGACAAGTTGGTTTATTCTTGTCAAATATCTGGACGCCGTGTTCTATTTCACTGATAATAACTGCTTTTGATTCTTGAAAAAGACGCTCTAGAGTGTCATCCCAGCAAAATGGAGTTCCAGGTTTGAGCAGTTGTCTGAATGCTTGCATCCTGTCAGTCATGCTGAATGCATATGACACTTGATTTACAAGGCCGAACCAAGATCTCATATCAGTTATGTTCTTAGGTGAAGGGAAGTCCAGAATTGCTTCAAGATAACGGCTGCATGGTCGCACACTGTCACGAGTAATTTCAAAGCCAGCAAACTGAACAGTATCTTTTGCAAACACAAATTTGTCAGGGTTCAGAATGATACCATTTTTTCCACAGGTTTCTAGCCAATTGCACGATTGAAAGAAACTTTGCTGGATACTGTCCGACCAAAGAAGAGCATCATCTATACACTTTGTTTTGTCAGGAATGTCAGATACAATTTCGTCAAAGCGGCGTGTATATCCATCTCCGGAGGCTATGTATCCTTGAGGCGCTGTCTTATATCTGTATCTGCCCCATGGTGTGATGAAGGTGGTCAAGTGCTTGTCCTCTTCACGGATAGGCACACTATGGTACCCATTCCAGGCATCGAAGACAGTCTTTTTAGTGTGACGTGGAACAGAGCGAGCTTGATGAAATGGGGATTGTGTGTGGTGAGTTTCCCTCACTGCATGAACATTTAGTGCCTGAAAGTCTACTGTCCGTCGCGGTTTGCCATTCTTCTTTGCACAGACGACCATACGATGACACCATGTAACTGGTTCCCCGACCGGAACAGGCTCAATAACGCCGAGTCGAACATCTTGATCTAAGCCTGCCTTCACTTCATCCTGCCAGTGTAATGGTACTGGGACTGGTGTATGATGAGCAACAGGTGTGGCGTCAGGGTCCACCATGAGCCGCATCGGTGGGCCTGACATGTGCGGAAGTGGTTGGTGCTGACATGTATTGAAGGTGCTGGATTTGTACCAGTCTAGTAAGTACTGTTGCAGTTTCTCCCGGTTCGCTTCGGTTGCTGGGAACGGCAGAACCGATGGTGCAGGCAGTGGTGTTTCGCGTTTAGGACACTTGCAGTCGTCACTGTCTATACGTAATGTGGTTGTAGAATCCACAGAAGATGTCGATTGTGAACCGTGGTGTGCATAATCATCTTGTGTACTTGGGGAGGACACAGATTCGCTGATGGTCTCTATACTTTCGTTGTTGATGTTACGTGCTTCACCAATAGTTGGAAAGTTCGGTGTTATCATGCCAAGTGATGCACACGCTTCTCTACTAAGAAACACTTTGTCAGAGTTATTGGTAACGTACACAATTTGGGGAGCTTCATAAGTTTCACCTCTCGTTCCTTTGCCAGATATGCGGAGGATGACTGCCCCAAGGATTCTTATGCTGACGTTGTTAGCAGCATGCATCTTCATAGTCACTGGGATCAAATGTTTCTCTGAGATGCCAAGCCGATGTAGCACCTTAATGCCGGCTAGGCAGCTTTGGCAACCTGTGTCAGCCATGGCGGTGATGGTAGCTGTCTTTGGTTTCGGTATGATCTTTGGGTCAATGCCGAAGTGGTCATAGTCTTTAGGGTCAACACGAGCAGTCACATGCATAAAAGGCTGAGGCTGTGACGGCTGGCGAATCCAAGTGTCTGATAGCTGATTGTAAAGATGATGATCAAGTTGAACAACATTTCTACCATAGTTATTGTCATGACTGGTTGCGGCGCAAAGTGAATCAAACACAGCACTTTCCTGTTCAGTCTTAGTGTTTGTCACATTTTGTTTGCCTCTGCATACAGACTCAAAGTGGTTCATTCGCTTGCAATTGTTGCATGTATGACCATATGCAGGGCACTCTTTTTTGCGAGTTTGTGGCGTTGCTTTGGCACCATGACCTTTATTTCCACAATAGGTGCACAGTGTCTCTTGTTTTTCAGTTTTCTTAGTCACTATACGAGCGGCACTCTTATTGCGGCGATATGAACTGCTAGCTGCTTCTGCTCCTTGAGAAACAAGTAGTTTAGATGCAGAACGTTTACCCGATTCTTTGGCTTCAACGAATTGAAATGTTTGTTCAAGTGTCATGTTTTGATTTCTTTCCCCAAGGAGATCAAGTTGAATCTCAGAGTCGTTGAGTCCACGAATAAGCACATCACGTAAGATTGCGTCAGTATAGTTGACTTCGTTGTCGCAGCTGGGGCATGGTATTAAAAACTTGCACACACCTGCTTGTCCGCGTAGTCGAGCCCCAAATGAGCGCACAGTTTCTTCATGGTCTTGTGTCATGTTGTTCAGTGCTACCCGAGCTACCATGGTATTCTCTTCACGCACAGCTAGGATCCTGATGGCTGTTAATACATCTTCTTGAGACTTATCCGTCAGCGAGCCACCAGCTGATCTTGTGAGGTCTCTCCGTAGATTCTCATCGCAACACTCAAGAAGCTGTATAACAAGTTCCTTTTCCTTTATTTTAGTGGCTTCTACGTAGTCTTTCCATCGTGAGAGGAAGTATGACCAATCTTCACTCGTGCCAGCGGATGTAATGGTGGGCCGTTTGACTTTTTCCACTTTATTACAGCTTGCAGAAGTCGAGGCTGCTGTGTGTACTAGCGCATGGGTAGTCAAAAGTGCAGCAACGATTGCAGCATCTAAGTCATCTGTTTCGAAGTCACAGTCTGGGATTGGACACTTCACTGAAGGCATCTTGTTTGTGTAGTTGTTGCTGTTATGTGTTGTTAGTGGTCTCTCAATGGATTGAATCCTCCATCATAGATAAGTAGGCCGATACTATTTTCAGATAACTTTATTATCCAAAATGATGGAGGTCTGAAACATACAAAAAGTAACATTGTAAATAAAATCAACTATCTGTTGGTAAGACATAAGTAATAGACTAACAAGTAAATACATAATCCTCTAGACCTCAGATCTCCAGATTCCTACGAGAAGAATTCTCAAAGTAATCCTGGCACCGACATGTAACCATACGTACGAAAGAAAATTGGCTCATTGTATTGGTTTAGAACAAACAGCTGTATGATTACCATATTTGTCCAAGTTATCATACCCAATGCAGTGATTTTTGAGACTCAGATATTTGAGTCCTAGACTCAGGAGTTTCCTTTGGGACTTGAGGAGTTTCCTGTGAGACTCGCTTAAATTTTAAGAACCTGTATCTTTTAGCATTGGAACTCATCAAGATTTTGAAAATGGTGTTCTAAACTTGCCTTAAAATCCTGCAAAAATTTCTGCTTATGACAACCTCAGATACTCAGAATGACAACCTCAGATACTCAGAATTTTGGCTTGCAAGAAATTTGGCATTTGGTGTAACAGGCCCTTAGATGATCAGCTTATTTGTGAACCATAAGGTTATACAAATATGTAAAATGATGATTAAAGTGCACAGAATTTTTTCTGAAATGTTCAGAGCCTACATTGTCTTCTTAAGTGATCGTACCTCAATCACTTTTGAACTTACACACATACAATGTAGTAGGGTTAGAATTTGTAATATAATATAGACATGTAAGTTTGATATTCTTGTCTTTTCAGGAACTTGAACAAGAGAAATATGAGCTGCATTTAAAATTAGAGAAGACAGAGGCAGAGTATGAGAACAAAATAAAGGAGCTACAGTATGACATTGAACAGATCCGACATGATTTCCAGTCACAGATGTTCCAGAGCACCTCGGATGACAAGGAGAAATCACATATCATAAAGGATATAACCCTCCAAAATGAACGCCTCAAGGAAGATGTTCAACGGGCAATATTCCGTGAAAATGAACTTTCTTCAGAAGTGCAGGGTCTCCGCGAGCAAGTCATGTCGCGGAAATCATCCATGCATATTCATCTCAGTCAGCTGGAAATCCTGCAGGAAGAGGTTTGTAACATATAGTTATAGCTTTAATTAAGTTTATCTTCTGTTCAGCAATAACACAGGACTATTGATGGTGGATTTGTTTGTTGGTTGATTCTGTGTTTATCTATACATGAAATCTGCCGGGCTGCTTTCATTCAAACTTCGTGTTCTGCTTATTCATTGTAAGAACTCTGTTGGGCTTGTTTTTCAGGTCTGAAAGTCAAAACTCACTGTTACTTAGTATATTTAATTGACATATGGTTTCTTTATGATATCTTTAGTCCTTTTATCAAATGTGATATTCATGCAGACAATTTCTGAGGATAACTTTTCAGGTCTTAAGGCTGAAGCTCAACGTCATTGTTATAAAACTGATTGGGAAGCGCATCTCTTGCTATATAATTTTTTTGACTGATGGTGAGGACAGCGATGACCTAATTAGTTTGTACAATAATGTGTAAAGTGGATGGGTTCTGGAGTATATGTGAGGGATCAGAATGTATCATATTAATGTTTAGGTAGTTAAATTCTCCATGGGAAGGGTATATCCCTGGTATGTTTAGGTAGTTAAATTCTCCATGGGAAGGGTATATCCCTGGTATGTTACGGTAGTTAAATTCTCCATGGGAAGGGTATATCCCTGGTATGTTACGGTAGTTAAATTCTCCATGGGAAGGGTATATCCCTGGTATGTTACGGTAGTTAAATTCTCCATGGGAAGGGTATATCCCTGGTATGTTTAGGTAGTTAAATTCTTCATGGGAAGGGTATATCCCTGGTATGTTACGGTAGTTAAATTCTCCATGGGAAGGGTATATCCCTGGTATGTTACGGTAGTTAAATTCTCCATGGGAAGGGTATATCCCTGGTATGTTACGGTAGTTAAATTCTCCATGGGAAGGGTATATCCCTGGTATGTTACGGTAGTTAAATTCTCCTTGGGAAGGGTATATCCCTGGTATGTTACGGTAGTTAAATTCTCCATGGGAAGGGTATATCCCTGGTATGTTACGGTAGTTAAATTCTCCTTGGGAAGGGTATATCCCTGGTATGTTTAAGTAGTTAAATTCTCCATGGGAAGGGTATATCCCTGGTATGTTACGGTAGTTAAATTCTCCTTGGGAAGGGTATATCCCTGGTATGTTACGGTAGTTAAATTCTCCATGGGAAGGGTATATCCCTGGTATGTTATGGTAGTTAAATTCTCCTTGGGAAGGGTATATCCCTGGTATGTTACGGTAGTTAAATTCTCCTTGGGAAGGGTATATCCCTGGTATGTTTAAGTAGTTAAATTCTCCATGGGAAGGGTATATCCCTGGTATGTTACGGTAGTTAAATTCTCCATGGGAAGGGTATATCCCTGGTATGTTAGGTAGTTAAATTCTCCATGGGAAAGGTATATCCCTGGTATGTTTAGGTAGTTAAATTCTCCATGGGAAAGGTATATCACTGGTATGTTACGGTAGTTAAATTCTCCATGGGAAGGGTATATCCCTGGTATGTTAGGTAGTTAAATTCTCCATGGGAAAGGTATATCCCTGGTATGTTTAGGTAGTTAAATTCTCCATGGGAAGGGTATATCCCTGGTATGTTATGGTAGTTAAATTCTCCATGGGAAGGGTATAATGTTATGGTATATCTCCTTGGGAAGGGTATATGTATGTTACGGTAGTTAAATTCTCCTTGGGAAGGGTATATCCCTGGTATGTTTAAGTAGTTAAATTCTCCATGGGAAGGGTATATCCCTGGTATGTTACGGTAGTTAAATTCTCCATGGGAAGGGTATATCCCTGGTATGTTAGGTAGTTAAATTCTCCATGGGAAGGGTATATCCCTGGTATGTTACGGTAGTTAAATTCTCCATGGGAAGGGTATATCACTGGTATGTTACGGTAGTTAAATTCTCCATGGGAAGGGTATATCCCTGGTATGTTACGGTAGTTAAATTCTCCATGGGAAGGGTATATCCCTGGTATGTTACGGTAGTTAAATTCTCCATGGGAAGGGTATATCCCTGGTATGTTTAGGTAGTTAAATTCTCCATGGGAAGGGTATATCCCTGGTATGTTAGGTAGTTAAATTCTCCATGGGAAAGGTATATCCCTGGTATGTTTAGGTAGTTAAATTCTCCATGGGAAAGGTATATCCCTGGTATGTTACGGTAGTTAAATTCTCCATGGGAAAGGTATATCCCTGGTATGTTACGGTAGTTAAATTCTCCATGGGAAAGGTATATCCCTGGTATGTTTAGGCAGTTAAATTCTCCATGGGAAAGGTATATCCCTGGTATGTTTAGGTAGTTAAATTCTCCATGGGAAAGGTATATCCCTGGTATGTTTAGGTAGTTAAATTCTCCATGGGAAAGGTATATCCCTGGTATGTTTAGGTAGTTAAATTCTCCATGGGAAGGGTATATCCCTGATATGGGTGTGTGATCAATTTAATTTATTTATGTCAAACATGCAAACATTCTTGGCAATTAAAAAGTATAAATATTTCTGTAAGGGTTCTGCAGGTGTGTGGCCTACATATCTAATGATATTAAATTATGTGTAATAGAAATGTAAGTAAACAATACACAAAGCCAGTGGTTATTACTAAAACTGTTGTTGTCTAGATCACTGTACTGAACCAGAGGAAAGCAGAGCTGGAAAGGAGGATTGCTGTACTGTCTGAAGAAAAAGAGGCCATGAAGGGTCGACATGAGGACTCTGTGGAGAAAATAATGACTCTGGAAAAACAGAACAGAGAGAAGGAACAACAGGTAGCCACCCAATCAGTACAAACGAAATCAGAAAGTACAACCTAAATCAGAAATAATGCACTACTTTTTTACAATATTACAGAAAGCCTAGAGTGCCTACACATGATTTCTTACTCAAATTCAGGTCTTATTACAAGACATTGAAATGCATGCGGTATGTGTAATTAAATTGAACACCATTTATTATGGGTGGGCTTGTTATAAGACATAGGTGTGTAATGTTGCATAAATACTTCAATATTTGTCCCATACTTTCCTCTCCATTTTCAAACTGAAATGTCCCCGAAAAAATGTGTTCACCTGGCACCTGTTAGATCGCATTAACGCAGTAATGAATCAGAATATGGCTGGGATAGGGGATGTATGAACATAATTGGAAATTCCTGATGAGATCATATTACTCATATAGACTTGGGAAGAATTTTTTTCGAAAAGTCATTGATTCTATTTCTTACTGCAGATACAACACCAGCAGAGAGATCTGATAGAGCTTCAGGAGACAAATTTACAATTAGAAGCTCAGCTCCACAACCTGGCTAATCAGAATTTGTCCCGCGGACAGGTGCTCAGCAGTGAATTAGCTGACCAGGGAGGCTCGCACTCCTTGTTTAATGAAATGTCAAGAATAGGCCAACTTCACCACAGTAATGGTCAGTCTAACGGAAATGGTCATTCTACATCTCTGTTTGAGGAGCTGTCAGGTGCCTCCAAACATATACCTGTAGCTAACATGGTAGGTGTTTCCTGTAATGTTGATGTATCTCAACACAGATGTACCTAATACTGTAAATCACTTTTATTTAGTGTGGGGGTATTTATTTTCAGGGTTAAATGTGAGGAGAGTCAATCATGATTTCAAATTCTTTGGGATTATTTGTGCGAAAATATGGCATTTATGGTGATTTAGTTACAGATATCAGAGTTTTAAAGATTCCTGGTCTCAAATGGCTCATCATTTGCAAATTAAAAATCATTTCTAGATCAGAGTTCGCAAAATCATGTTTTTGCAAATATGTCTGAACAAGTATGTTTGCGAAATAGAGTATTTGTGAAATCTACATGATTTACAGTATGGTACTGTTATGGTATATAGATCGTAATACAAATCAAAACTTTCCAGTTCAGTGTTTTCATAAGATATCTATCTGATTTGCACAACTTATGGTTATTGAAGGTATAGATTAAATTAATTCTCGATATTAGATACAGAATTTTGCTTGTAATATGTTCTTTGACAAGAATAAATTCAGACAAATTTTACTTTTTCCCCACTGTATATAAACCTACTCCCCATCAAGAAAATATACTAAAAACAGTTAAATTGGAGCTAATAAGTTTAATTTTTACTACACATGCTTTCAAATGATGATGTCACGAAAAATAAATATCAGTCTAACCTCCACAATGTGATAATTTATGTAGTCTTCATGTATGTTATATATTTCAACTCTTTCCCTCTTTTGAATTCTGACCTATACGGCTGGCTGAAATTTCTCATTTCTCTAAATTGGCACAAAATTTCCCTTTTTCCACAATTGATAGTATTCTCAGTGTTATAGATTAACCCTTGTATATGTTGTAAGATAAAACCTCACATACCGATAGATTTTATTCTTTCTGTTCTCTTCCAGATTCCAAACAATGATAAATCTTCTTTTTTCTCCATTACAATTTTGCTTAATACTGTTGGCATCTTTATCCCGCAGTCTTTCTTAATTTAGATGTTTTTTTTCTGTTAGATGTTGGACGGTGATGACAGTTGTAGCCTCCGGCCGATGTCAATGTCGCAGATGATGGAAGAAGATGACTTCGAGTGTGATGATGAAGAGGTCTGTGTTAGTTACCATGGGTCAGATTCATCACCACTCAGCTCCACCATGTTGTCAGACTCAGCCTTCCTCTCACACTTTCAGAGATCTTCATGTGCAATGGATATTGATTGTGAGGTCTGGGATATTAATAGCTCTAATGATTTGTTCTACTCTCTTTATTTATTTTGACCTTTTGACCTTTTGCTATAGTTGTTTTACTTTAGGTTGTAAAATAATTTGTTACCTTGACTTTGACAGAGATGGAAGGAAAATACAGAAAAAACTTCATATATTGTTGTGATCCCACAGTTTAGAAAAAGTCCAAGAAAATTGTATGCTTCTTCAGGGGTTGGACAATTTCTGTCATAAACATCTGGTCAAGTCTTGTTTTCAAATTGCTGTTTGTCGAGTGTTTTTCCCAATTTAAAATGTTTAAAAGTGGTAATGTAGATTTTAATTTTCTGCGTAATATTAATTGTTTTGTTATCTTAGAAAATGTACATTTTGTTTTCAAACTACTTGAACTGATGACATGGCTATAGACTGAATTCAATTGAAAGTTGAAGGAGGTACTACAATTTAAAGATAATCCCTTAAATAAAGTATCATATTTATTTAGTACAATGCCCATATTTGGTGAAAAGCTCACTCTTATCTATTGATGTAGTTATGAATGAATGCTTTTTCATTGGCCAGAAATAAACCCTCCTCTTGCTTTTTCATTGGCCAGAAATAAACCCTCCTCTTGCTTTTTCATTGGCCAGAAATAAACCCTCCTCTTGCTTTTTCATTGGCCAGAAATAAACCCTCCTCTTGCTTTTTCATTGGCCAGAAATAAACCCTCCTCTTGCTTTTCCATTGGCCAGAAAAAAACCATCCTCTTGCTTTTCCATTGGCCAGAAAAAACCCTCCTCTTGCTTTTTCATTGGCCAGAAAAAAACCCTCCTCTTGCTTTTTCATTGGCCAGAAATAAACCCTCCTCTGGAGCCAGAATTTGTAAATTAGCTCTGAGCTAATAGCACTACAATATGCCTAGTCCCTTGACTTTGAGAATTTGAATGGAGGCCCCTTGCCTCATTGTGCTGCAATAAGCTCACCCCCTGACTCTGAGTCAGAATGTATTTGTTTGCCCCCTCCCTCAGACTTATTTCCCGCATAAGCTCTCCTCCTAACTTAGAATTAAGAATTCATATGTCAATATTGTATCAGTAAAACATTGTGGGATTTCATGAAAAGCGAAGTAGGGGCATTTGTTAGGCTTTCCCATGAGCAATATTAAGTGAAGAAATTTCTTAAAGCCAAGGAACATTTGTGTAACTGAGGTCTGCCCTGGGTTCTACTTCATTTATGATACTGTCAGCTTGGATTATATAAGTGTATCATTTGTTTTTGTTATTTTATGTTTTTCTGTACAGTGTGTGATTTCTTTTAGTATGCTTTGTGTGGATTTTGCAAATGTTTTTTCTCACACTTTAATATATTATCATTACAGACACATGCACAGCTCAAGGCTATACTCAAGGTTATATCTGACTATTTTTTTTTTTCATTTTTCAAATTTTCGGTTTTTAACTTATTGTCTGTTTCTGTGAAAATTGTTATTGAATTTCTGCATAAATTGATATGAATTATACATAATGCCCCTATGTTCTATTACTTCAACATATATTTCCATTTTAAATATGTTGAATATGATCATGTTAAAATGTTTTTTAAGTCTAGTATAAAGGAAAAACAAAAAAACACCATCATGTAAAAAGTTATATTTTTGATAATAGTATGAAATATTGTATTGTTCAATCTGTTTGTCATGTATTACATATAAACAATTATTGTACCATTCCTCCATATCTGTGGTTTTGTTGACAGCTACAAGAGGAGCTGGTCCAGTCTTATCGGCAGCTTAGACAGATGTGTTCCGACTTCAGCCCGATGATCCCACGAAATCGGAATTCTATCCTGGAAGAAGATGGAATTCAGCCGGGCAAATTAACAGGTGTTTTACAAAACCTTCGGGAGCTAATGCAGGATATGGTACCTCGCAAAGTTATGGTAAGTATTCAGGTCCATTTTTATGGATGATTCAATGTCTGATTTGATATCTTGAAAACCTCAATAGAGATTTGGTTCATATTTACCCCATAGTATCATAACATTATATTCTACACCTGATCATATTCTGGATGCTTACGAGCAGGGTATTCATGTCTTGTAGACATTTTCTAGCCTTGGAAATATAAAGAAAATTGATCTTATCATAAAACTTCTATAAAGTACAAGAATCCTTCAAGTTTTAAATTTGATATCACATCTGGTCTGATATAAAGTTTCATGGCATAAGACAATTGAAATCTGTAAATGATAATGTTGTATTCTTTCCAGTTCTCTGCAGCATCCCAGGCTAATTTAGCTGATGATGAGGAGGATATTTCCTTATCAGAGCTACAGAAGCACATCGGGGAGCTTAAGTTTGAACTCACAGAGGCCCAAGGTGACCTTGATAGAGTCAAGACAGAGTTGAAGGAGCGAGATCAGCAGCTAGAGACTAAGAGTCAGGAGCTAGGCCAGCTTACCAACAAGGTAAAGGTACTCAATCGTCCTCTCTAGCTATTGTACTCCTTGTAGTTCTGTATATATACTATACCGAGGTATCGGTTCTGCCTGGTAAAACTGTTTGTGTCCTTTATTAAATTCTGAAGGTCTATACATGTAGCTTTGACACCAATGCAACTGGAAACTCTTTATTGTTGTGGACTCCACCTTTTTCCACCTTTTTTTCGTTTTTTATTTTAGCACTCAGAGGATTTCAGTTTCGAAAAGAATTTTTTCAGAAATATTGAAAAGAAGATGTGAATTGCTTTGATGTTACAGAACACATTCTTGATTTAGATCTGAATGATAATTGATAATTATTGATAGGCAAAAAATAAAAATTATGGAGACAGATAATAGATTTCTGAGACAGTACTGTAAATGGAAATTAAGTTCCTCTGACTAGGACAAGCACTGTGGTGGAATGTCACAAAAAAGTTCATTTAAGGCAATAATTAGACTAGGGATCATGCAAGTATAGGAACAGGCAGGGATGGCACTGATCATCTCCTAGGATGAAATTTTTGTTATTCTAACGTTGATATTGGATATTGAAATGACAAATTGATGTTAAGTTATATAATATTAGTTCCTGCTCTTCAATGGCAAAAACATGTAGACATGTCATGGCTAAAATTTGATGTTCTGATTTTTTACATGTGACGAAATAAACCCATTTTACAGTATATGTATGACAGCGTTGCGATCTTCGGTATAACAGCGTTGCGATCTTCGGTATGTAATCTTCTGTATAATATGTTTGATGTTACTTTTCTTTCTTTTCCCACTGCCTGCACTTGGTAATGCTACAGGTGTCAATTCTAGAGGTAAGTCCATGTCTTCTACTTAAAAAAGTCTGTATTGTACTAACACAGTCTCTCATTTTAAGGTGAACATTTTGGTTAATATCATGTATTATAATATATAATGTAATACAAAAAGTGACTGTGGTTTTCTGTAGTGACCTTGACTTTAAGTGAACTAAATTTCTTATCTTCACGTTATAGTTGACAATGCAGCATGATGAAATATCACGGGTACAGTCACAGAGAGATCAGATACAGAACATGTCAGGATGTGCAATGACCAGGGATGAGGTCATTGAGCAGGCCCGAAGGGATCGGGACGACGCCATAGAAAAGTAAGACCTGAAAAGTTGTCTCAGATTTAGGGTACTATTGATACTGATATTTCTGAAGGTTGATATAGTTAAGTAGTTTAAGTGTCAGGCTAAGTAACAGAGGTGCCTACTTCAGTAATATGTTCATGGTTATAAAACTTTGTTTAGTCTGTTTGGTGAGTTGAGCCAGTTGATCAAAGTGGTGTATATCAGTTTTACATTACCTTATTACAGACAAAACAAGATGGAGATAGAATTGGCTAAAGCTAAGCTGGACCTGCTGAGTCTTAACAGTCAACTGATGGAGACTATTCAACAGAAAGTGGCACTGTCACAACAGCTTGACCAATGGCAGGTAAGACTTGCAGTTCTGTCACAATAATTCAACCAATGGCAGGTGAGAACTCTTGTTCTGTCACAACAGCTTGACCAATGGCAGGTAAGACTTGCAGTTCTGTCACAATAATTCAACCAATGGCAGTTGAGTACTCTTGTTCTGTCACAACAGCTTGACCAATGGCAGGTAAGAACTCTGGTTCTGTCACAACAGCTTGACCAATGGCAGGTAAGATCAGTGTCACTGTCACACCAGCTTAACCATTTTCAGGTATGATCTGTGGTCCTGTCACAACAGGTAAGATAAGTGGTTAATGAAATAAAAGAAATTTAGCTTTGATAAATGACTATGCAGATATTTTGGATATATAAATAAATCATTTGTCAATGACTTATCTTCACAGGGCAAGGAAGCAGGGGTGAGAAGTCATACTATTTTGTCTTTATGAGTACCTGGTAACAGTATTTATATTCTTTGATTTCAGTTTATTAAGGGGCTGTCAGGGAATTTTGTTCAGTTTTGTCCTGCTTATCCAATGTTTGTTCTCCAAGCATGAGCATGTAGCAGATTCTAGGTTTCTCAGCATTAACATGTTTACAGTAATAAACACCTGGTTTGTCCATGCCTGTCCTCCACTCTGTGTCAGCTTTTTCTATCATTTAACACCTCAATAATCAAAAGGCTTAGATTAATGATATTACGTGGGATGATACCTGGAATGAGCCCTTCAGAATTTGTAAAGAGAAATGAAATTGACATATAAATAAGGTCACTGGGGTCAAATTTGTTAAAACCTTCAAATGACTTCTTTCCAGTTAAGCAAAATGTCCAGAATTCTGAAATTTGGCTGATAGGTTCGTGAAATGAAGGTCATCAAATTTTGGGAAAAGAAGTATTGAAGTAACAAGAGTCAAGTTTATCAAAAACCTCAAATAACTTAGATTTTGAAAGTCGATGGTGTGAAATATTAATGAAAAGCATTGAATTAAAAGTGAGTGATGCAGGCCATTTGGCCTCTTGTATTCATTAGATTACGAATTATGAAGAATTTTGTAAACAATTCTTTGATATTCAGAGGGGAAATACAAATACAAAATAAAGGAATCTGGATTTTATAAATGTAACTGATTATTTGTACAGCAATAACATTTAAAGATTCAAGAGACAGGCCTAGAAATATAGAGATGGAACAGCTCAGTGCTCTAAAGATTGTTGATTTCTCTAATGACGTGTTAATATCATCATGTCTGTCAAATCTTAAAGATTTTCTGAGGAGATATTGGAAACTGAACATTCAGAAGTCATTAGGTCAAAGGTTAATGTTAAACCAAACATTTATTATTGGCTTTGTGATTTGCATGTATTACAAGTAAATCTACCTAATATTCATCCAAAATATAGAAAAATATGGCTAACATTTGAAAATTTCCTACCCGTCAGGTCAGTTTTCAAAGTGAGGCTAAAATGTCATTTAACAAATTGACAAAATGAAACTACTCCGCTGGACTTGAAGATTTATTTCATGTATGTTTTACTATCTATTGCTTATTTAATTTTTGAAATGTTGCTTGATGAAATTCATTAGAGAATGAATGTCTGTAATGAAGCGATCTGATTGGTTGCTTCAGCCGTTACGAATGTTCCATCTTACATAAGGTCTTTGTATTGTCTTACTGTACTTCTATCAGTGTGCATGAATTACTTACTAAGCTTAAATTTTTGTGTATCATACATTGCCCTGTGCCACTGATATATTTTGCCTCGGATTTCTGATTGTCCAAAACATTTATAGGACTCCGAAGCCCAAGCTGCATCATCAGAAACCAGGAGACTGTGATCTTGTCATACAACAAGTGCAGAGTCTCATGGGTTTATTTCTGAGGATGTCCAAGCTGAGACACAGAGAAAGATCCTATGTATAGTAGGAAGAAAGTGATGAAAGTTGTCCTAAACACACTAGCTAGATCATAGATTCATTTAATCATTTCACCTGACTAAAGGGAAATACGCAGCACGACAACATGAGCTCTTCATTTCTGCACAACTCCCTTCTTCCTGAAATCTTTTACCCCAAAACAATCAAAACACAACAGTTTTTTTGGCTCCAACAAAGCCTCTCCATAACATTACTCTTGGAATGGTCCATGGTAGCATAGCTGTATAAGTAATATTACTATAGGACTCTAGTGAATGTCCTAGTATCTTTGTTTTAGGAACATTATGAGGCACTGCCTATCAAAGTAGATAAATACAGCGAATATTTCAACCTTTGTCATTTGTTGTTCAGTGTTGGGCTGTTGGAGTCTCCTTGTATTATTGTAGTATTAATAATGTGAACTTTATTAACTTTACAACTATTCCAAAACAAGATTTAATCTTATATTAATCACTCTTGTTGGCCCAGATTGAAGCGTGTGAGGGGTCTTCCTGTGTGAGGAAATAAGTAACTGGGGAAAAGCCACGTGGTTGGGCAGGTGATCCCCCCCACCCCACCCAACCCAACATCTGAACTGCTTTTGAAGGCAGATACTATGAAATAAAGATATACATTTCTTAAATGAAAATGTAGTATAGAAAGGAAACATCATAATGGATGATCATTTTGCATTGGTAATGAAATGTTAGTTCCCTTGAATGTACTTGACAGATAAATTTATGATTTTTCAATGTTTCTGGCAATGATAATGGTAATTTCCTCACTTCAAATATTTTCATAGTTCTGTCATATTACAATAACTGGTTTTGAAATGATAAATAGAACTGTTCAAGATAAAATTCTGGCTTTTGATATTTAACAGTTGATGTAAATTGAAATGTTGACAGGTTGATATGGAGGAAATGCTCGACTCGCAGATGAAGAAACGGATTCAAGAACAATCTGAGAAGGAGATCATTGTGGATAAGTTAACTAAACAGATCAAAATGAGAAAATCTAAATCCAGCTCTTTTGTATGATTTACATCACATCTCCCGTCATTCTCCTGAATAAAAAGTCATTGGTTCATGTTATATCCAGAGAGACCCACACAAGCATACAACACCATGCTGTCGCCAGAGAGACCCAAACAAGCATACAACACCATGCTGTCGCCAGAGAGACCCACACAAGCATACAACACCATGCTGTCGCCAGAGAGACACACACAAGCATACAACACCATGCTGTCGCCAGAGAGACACACACAAGCATACATACAACACCATGCTGTCGCCAGAGAGACCCACACAAGCATACAACACCATGCTGTCGCCAGAGAGACACACACAAGCATACAACACCATGCTGTCGCCAGAGAGACACACACAAGCATACAACACCATGCTGTTGCCAGAGAGGCCCACACAAGCATACAACACCATGCTGTCGCCAGAGAGGCCCACACAAGCATACAACACCATGCTGTCGCTAGAGAGGCCCACACAAGCATACAACACCATGCTGTCGCCAGAGAGGCCCACAAAAGCATACAACACCATGCTGTCGCCAGAGAGACCCAAACAAGCATACAACACCATGCTGTTGCCAGAGAGATCCACACAAGCATACAACACCATACTGTCGCCAGAGAGACCCACACAAGCATACAACACCATGCTGTCTCCAGAGAGGTCCACACAAGCATACAACACCATGCTGTCGCCAGAGAGACACACACAAGCATACAACACCATGCTGTCGCCAGAGAGACACACACAAGCATACAACACCATGCTGTTGCCAGAGAGGCCCACACAAGCATACAACACCATGCTGTCGCCAGAGAGGCCCACACAAGCATACAACACCATGCTGTCGCTAGAGAGGCCCACACAAGCATACAACACCATGCTGTCGCCAGAGAGGCCCACAAAAGCATACAACACCATGCTGTCGCCAGAGAGACCCAAACAAGCATACAACACCATGCTGTTGCCAGAGAGATCCACACAAGCATACAACACCATACTGTCGCCAGAGAGACCCACACAAGCATACAACACCATGCTGTCTCCAGAGAGGTCCACACAAGCATACAACACCATGCTGTCGCCAGAGAGATCCACACTGCAGGCCAGGTGACCTTGACATCGGGAAACAAAGTCCTAATCCAGTATAATCATATCCAGGACTTTGGCATTTAAGCTTGAGGCTGTTTGTAATGGTGAAGTTTTAAAGACACTAATGTGGAACATTTTAAAATCTAATTAAGTAACGGTGGAGAAAATGTCATGAATTCAGGAATAGAGGCATATCTGATTGTTCTGGTTGAGATAAGGTTGTAGGCTTTTGTAGTGAGGTACACAATTGGTTCATAGATATTTTGATAGAATGCTTTAGGATTCTCAGCAGCATTTACCATCTTAACAGAGTTCGTAATATTTGTTTCAGTCTGTGATAGGATTGGAACCTCAGCACAGATCTACAATAAAAAATCTTTTTTTAGCTTAAATGTTTATTGTAACTAATTCTATCAGGATTTCCTACATCCTTCACTGCAGAGAAAACACATACCGGTGGGGATGGGGTGGGGGGGGCGGGTGTAACTTGTCTCAAGTTTCCATGGAGATACGGTGATGCTTTTGAATGTAAAGCTAAGTAATTTCCTTGAGGCTTTACATGGGCACCAATGTAACAGGTGTCGTCATCTATTTCATAGTCTCCACTAGGATTTGAACCTGTGACTTCTGGTTTACTATGTTCCAGTGATTGAGCTGACGAGAAATTCTCTCCAGCTGAGCAGTATAGTGTTACTAGGATTTAACAAGGTTACATGTGGAGGAATCCAGAACAGAAACAGAGAGCTTATAGCATTTACATTCTACACTTACTTGTGTTACAACTTGTATCCTTAGATATATATCACAAAAGTGCTGTACTTATAGTTAAATATTAACACAGAATATACTGTGCTTTCAAACATTTTAGCTTCAACAGCATTTACTGTAAGGATGTTGGAAAATGTTATTCACACAACTAACAGCTTATGTAATTTTTTAAAATGAAATTTTGTCAAATGAAAATTATCAAAATGAAATCCGGGTTTAGACTTTGTTCTCATGGTTTCACCATTTTCAGTTCATTTATCATGAAGAATGATATACAATAGAATGTTATTATAATGTTGATCATCTCTGTCATTTTGTTTTAATTTCTATTACAATATGCATTTAGAGAAAAATAAATTGTAGATTCCTGAGGGATTATTCCAGTGTTGGGGTAAATCTGCTTATAATGCAATACTACCGGTAGGTGCATCTTCTGTTAGAGAGCTGTTCCTGTAGGTGTTGTACTGCCTAGATATAAAAATGGGTACAGGGAAGGAATTATAAGATGGACTGATGTCATCATGACCTGCTGATCTGTCTTCCAGATATATTTCCAATGATTTTGTATCACATCTATGTTAATTAAATGTCTGAAAGTTGTATACCTGGTAGTTTACATTAAAATGATTCCAGATTTCCTGTGTAATGTTATTAAAATATCCTGAGATACAGGTTAGGTCAAAATTAGGTACTTAAATCTTTGACAATACTTTCAGGTCTCTGGTACATGAGGTAATTTGATTTCCATGTGATTATATACTTGGATGAACTTTGACCTCTGACATAAGCTTGACCTTTGAACTGAAAACAGCATTGCATTGTACAGAACATGACTAGTATGTCTGAAAACTTACAGCATTTGATGTCATCTGATTGTAATAATTGACATGCGCGCGCGCGCGCGCGCGCGCGCGCGCGCGCGCGCGCGCGCGCGCGCGCGCGCGCGCGCGCGCGCGCGCGCGCGCGCGCGCGCGCGCGCGCGCGCGCGCGCGCGCGCGCGCGCGCGCGCGCGCGCGCGCGCGCGCGCGCGCGCGCGCGCGCGCGCGCGCGCGCCCGCCCGCCCGCGCGCGCGCGCGCGCGCGCGCGCGCGCGCGCGCGCGCGCGCGCGCGCGCGCGCGCGCGCGCGCGCGCGCGCGCGCGCGCGCGCGCGCGCGCGCGCGCGCGCGCGCGCGCGCGCGCGCGCGCGGCGCCGGCGCGCGCGCGCGCGCGCGCGCGCGCGCGCGCGCGCGCGCGCGCGCGCGCGCGCGCGCGCGCGCGCGCGCGCGCGCGCGCGCGCGCGCGCGCGCGCGCGCGCGCGCGCGCGCGCGCGCGCGCGCGCGCGCGCGCGCGCGCGCGCGCGCGCGCGCGCGCGCGCGCGCGCGCGCGCGCGCGCGCGCGCGCGCGCGCGCGCGCGCGCGCGCGCGCGCGCGCGCGCGCGCGCGCGCGCGCGCCCGCGCGCGCGCGCGCGCGGCGCGGCGCGCGCGCGCGCCCAGCCCGCCCGCGCGCGCGCGGCGCGCGCGCCCGCCCGCCGCGCGCGCGCGCGCGCGCGCGCGCGCGCGCGCGCGCGCGCGCGCGCGCGCGCGCGCGCGGGCGCGCGCGCGCGCGCGCGCGCGCGCGCGCGCGCGCGCGCGCGCGCGCGCGCGCGCGCGCCGCCCGCCGCGCGCGCGCGCGCGCGCGCGCGCGCGCGCGCGCGCGCGCGCGCGCGCGCGCGCGCGCGCGCGCGCGCGCGCGCGCGCGCGCGCGCGCGCGCGCGCGCGCGCGCGCGCGCGCGCGCGCGCGCGCGCCGCCCGCCCGCGCGCGCGCGCGCGGCGCGCGCGCGCGGCCGCGCGCGCGCGCGCGCGCGCGCGCGCGCGCGCGCGCGCGCGCGCGCGCGCGCGCGCGCGCGCGCGCGCGCGCGCGCGCGCGCGCGCGCGCGCGCGCGCGCGCGCGCGCGCGCGCGCGCGCGCGCGCGCGCGCGCGCGCGCGCGCGCGCGCGTTTTCTTGTTATATAATTGTCTAAATATTTTACAACTTGTTTTCCAATGTCCACCTTGTGAAATTGGCTAACAATGGTCTCCCTAGTCGGATTGCTAACAGTTAAGTCGCCCCTGTTTGTTGGATAACAAGTCTGCCAATTTATTGGCTAACAATAATCTCCCTTGTTTGTTGGCTAACAATAATCTTCCTTGTTTGTTGGCCAACAGTAATCTCCCTTGTTTGTTGGCCAACAGTAATCTCCCTTGTTTGTTGGCAAATAGTAATCTCCCTTGTTTGTTGGCTAATAGTAATCTCCCTTCTTTGTTGGCCAACAGTAATCTCCCTTCTTTGCTGGCAAAAAGTAATCTCCCTTGTTTGTTGGCTAATAGTAATCTCCCTTCTTTGTTGGCCAACAGTAATCTCCTACTCACTCTTGTTTGTTAGCTAAGAATAATCTTCCTTGTTTAATGGCTAAAAGTAGTCTCCCCTTTTCGTTGGCCAACAGTAGTCTCCCTTGTTTGTTGGCTGGCTGTAATCTTCTTTGTTTGTTAGCTAACAGTTATCTCCCTTGTTTTTGGCTCATATTTTATTGTTTATATGTCCGTAAGTTTTATGTATTATCATAATATATGAATAAAGAGTATGCTACAACATATTTTTTAAAACCTTCTTCTTTTTTCCCAATGGTAAATAGAGTTCTACTGTTTTGGCATGGTTTTTAGTGAGGTGTTGTACAGATACAAAAACACATTTAGTAACAACCGGGTAAGATGAAAACTATGTATTTTTAACAATGTGAATCATAAAATATATAAAACTAAATATTAAATTTATCAAAAGCTTTAAAAATTTGATCAATAAATATGGTACAGTGTTTATAACCCAAGTGTCTATGCATAGTCAAATGAATGGCTGTAATAAACAAGCTTTGTTGTTGTGTGATCCGTTATTGCTGTGTGTGACATTGTGTTGAAAATTAAAAGTGTGCAGTGATGATAGATATGTTAAATAGGTATTGTATTGGCAATATGTATGTGTAGTACATTGTAAATATCAGGTTATACTTAGAAACCTTTGAATTTTAAAAGTGAAGAGGAGAATCACTTTAAAAATTTAGTATAAAAAAATCAGTCTTAGGGTTCAAAACCATGTCACTTGTTACATTGTGTTTATTAAAATTGAGTTGTAAATTTGAGTCCTACAAAGTGTCCATTGCAGTTCCTTGTTTTAGTGAGAGTTTACAAGTTATCTACTTCAACTGTCAGAACTGAAATCAGTGGACTGGGATAGATACTTAAATGGTTGTGTTACAGTAGAGATTTAAGGGGTAACGTGTATTTGGAATGAAAGTAATTACTTTACTGACATAGAACTGGGATGTTGACATAGAACTGGGATGTTGACACAGAACTGGGGTGATGACGTAAAACTGGGACAATGACAAAGAACTGTGATGATGGGGAGGATGACATAGAACTGGGTTGGTGACATAGAACTGGGATGATGACATAGAACTTGGATGATGACATAGAACTGGGATCGTGACATAGAACTGGGATGATGACATAGAACTGGGATCGTGACATAGAATTGGGATGATGGGGAGGATGACATAGAACTGGGATGATGACATAGAACTGGGATGATGGGGAGGATGACATAGAACTGGGATATTGACATAGAACTGGAATGTTGACATAGAACTGGGATGATGACATAGAACTGGGATGATGGGGAGGATGACATAGAACTGGGATATTGACATAGAACTGGAATGTTGACATAGAACTTGGATGATGACATAGAACTGGGAGGATGACATAGAACTGGGAGGATGATTACGTAACTGTGTACCTGGCAGTTCATGTCCTGTACAAAATGTTATGATGTATACACAAGAAAAACATGAATTACAATGGAAACTTTGGTACAAAATATTTACATATATGTATACAAAGTGTAGCAGTACAGTACTTTGTTAAAATCTGGTGTATTTCTATAATTTGTTTACCATCTCATCACACTATTTTTGACCTTGGTGTACATAGGATTATATAGCACAACCAAAAAATTCTATTCTGTTGACATTACCAACCTGAAGAAAATGTTCCGAAATATTTACATAATGACAGTATGGTAGGTACAATATTACTATGTACTAGCTGATTAAACATTAAAATAAATTATCGCCCCCCTCCCCAAATTTTTGTTTTATTTCCAAAACACATGCACAAATAGATTGAAATGAAATAGGTAACAGGGTCATGTGACTTGTCCATCAGATATTTTTGTTGTGTATTAATTGTTATTTTGATCTCA